CTCTGGGCCCCGGACCTCCAGCAGCTGGGAAGCCTTGGGCTGCCCTGAGGGGGCCTGTCCACAGCACAGACAGGGACTGCAGGTCCGCAGGGACTCTGGGGAGAAGGGACAGCTCCACCCGGATGAGTTGCAGAGGCTCAGCAGCTGTGGGGTCACCAGGGTCATTGGCCTCCTTCTGGCCAGGCCTTCTTCAACGTTCCAGGCAGGTGGTCTTCTCTGTCCCCGACAGCTTGAATGGTGGCCGGGAATGTGTGCCCGGCCTGCACCTTGCCTGTGTCATGGCACTGGTGTGTGGTGTCCTGTGCCAAGGCCCGGGCGGTTCTCACAGGCGCAGCTGAGAGGGCTTGGGCAGCGGCTCAACCCCATGGCCAGCGCAGGCTCCGAACGTCCTGCAGTCCTGCTGGGGTCCGTGGTCTGTCTGTGTGTGACTGTGAAGATGCTCCACCCTGAACTAACCGAGTCCCAGCAGAGCCGCAGCAAGGGTTTCTCCCATCAGAAGAGAAATTCAATTTCCTTTTGACTCGAAATTAATTTTCAGGAGAAAATTGCTTTATGGCCACACTTACGGACAGCTTCCAGCCGCGGCCTGCTGCTGCTTCTGAGAAGGGCCATCCTTGGTCAAGGGGGGTCTGTGCTCAGTCAGTGGGGACCCGTCCGTGGCCAAGGGGGGCCTGGCCAGGCCTGTCCTCAGCTGCGGCGCTGAGAACACTGTGTCTGGCCCAGTCCTGGCCGAGCTGAGCTCTGGGAGACCAGTTTCCCCAGGAATCTCTCTGGCCTGGAGGCAAATGTCCGGGAGCCAGGACAGCTGGTCTCTGGCTGCCGAGGGTCGATCACCTCCCCATCCGCCTTCTTCCTCCAGGAATCCAGGGATCGTGGACTTCTGGCACAGAACCAGGCATCTCAGAGGTGGGGATGGTGGGGGGAAGCAGCCCTCAGCGGAGACCCTCTGGCCGGCTCCTGTGGAAGTGGGCTCCGCAGGGTGGGTGCTCCAGCCACCGGCACGTCCTCAGTGCTTGGCTCTCGCCCTCATCATCCCTCACGTCCCCCTGGACCAAGAGATGCTGACCAGGCGGCCACACAGGCTCCTGTCCTGCAGCTGTGTGGCCGGGGTCCAGGGCTCCCCTGTAGACGGTTGGCCCGGATTGCTGCTCATCCAGGGACAGTTCATCAACGCTGTTTTAAAGCCAGCCCAAGGTGTCACTGAGGAGATGTGAGATCCCCTGGTTCCAGAGAGGATTCTGTCTGAACAGACATGGGGTCAGGGACATGCGGCCCAGGAAGGATTAGACTAGGTCTGCGCTTACTGTACAGATAGGGAGTCCGAGGCCATCCCACAGAAGGCTGGGGCAGGACTGGAGGCCCTGGGTAGCATGGGGCTTTGGTCCCCATGGCTCCTGGGTGTCTGTGGCTGACCTGGCTCCTCCATGGGCCCACAGCAGGGCCAGCCCTGCCTCCACAGCCTGCAGTGGAGCGGCCACCCTCTGTGCTGGCCAGGGAAGGGGACCGCTGTGTCCTAGGCTCAGGCCTTCCCAGAATGTGTGACCGGACCCCTCTGAGGGGCAGTCCTCCAGGTCAGCCCCAACCACAGTCAGATGCAAAGGGGCAGAATCGTGTTCCCTTGCCCACACCTCCCTTGGGTCCTTGGGAGAAGGCGGCTGGGGACAGGATTTCCGGCTCACCAGCCACTCAGAGGGTCCTTCCCTCTCCCACCCACAGAGCTGTGATCTCCCAGACATGGGGGGACCAGGAGGCAGAGGCATGGGACGCTGGCCGCCTGCACCTGGGCCATGCTTCGGGGCTTCAGGAGGAGATGCTCCACAGCAGCGTGACAGGCTCCATGCCGTCCCCAGACACTAGCCCTGCAGCAGCGGCCAGTGTGCTCTGAGGGCAGCTGGTCTTCCTGGGCAGCCAGCCCCGGGTGCTGGCTGGGGCCCCCAACAGGATGCGCTCCCACAGGCGCCGGGGAGAGGCCTGCCTTGCTCCCCAGCATCCGTCCCTCTAGTCTCGCACAGGAGGCCCCGCAGGAAGGCTGGCAACATGTTGGAGGGGCGGTAGGGTGGGCACAGGGTGGCTGCTAAGGGCCCTGGCTCACCATGCCCACAGGGAGTCCTGGGTAGGGGCTCCCCGCAGCACGGACCCCCTGGAGAGGCTGGAGACACCCCGCGCCTGGACCCAGTTCTCCCTGCCGTGAGCCTCTTTCTGGGACTCAGACTCCCACTTGGGTCCTAGACAGTAGCCACCACTTGCCCGCAGTGTCGGCCCTATCACACAGACCACCCGATGGCCCGGTTGTGACCAGGTGGCTGAAATGCAGTCCAGAGCCTCCCCGGTGGGAACGTGCCTCACACCCCGTCCTCTTCTAAGCCAGGGCTCAATGCTGCCCTATCCCGTTGTCCACCGCCCACCATCGCGGTCTCCACAGGCAGTGGCCTGGCTCAGAGAGCACCATGCGGTCCTCCACCCAACCTGAGCCGGGGCAGCTGGAAATGACCCAGAGACCGGGGCGTGCACCTCACACCCCTGACTCAGAGGACCCTTCCTAGGTCCTGGCTTAGGTCAACCGTTGGAGCACCCTCAGGTCATGTGCAAGGGACATTCCTCACCAGATGGCTTCTGAGGACAAGAAACAGGCCTGCCAGTGTCCAGCCCGGGTGTTGCGTGGGCAGCAGAGAGGGGCACAGGTCCCCCACAGGCTCACCAGGAGGGTGGAGAGGAGCAGGAAGTCCACCCAGCATCACCAGAGGCCAAGGCAGAGCACAAACCGTAGGTGGAGGATGGTGCTGACCCCGGGAAAGCGGAGACACAGCCAGAAGGAGGCGGGTGGGGGACACTCTGACCCGCTGTGTGGCTTCCCCCTGGTGGGAGGATGGGGCCGGAACTTGTTCACATCCCCAGGAACGTTCCCGAGATTCTCCAGTGACACACGGCTGGCCGCCAGGTCCAGCCCGGCGAGCTCCAAACCTGCACTGTGGGCAACCTCAGGACCAGGACCCCGTCCCAGGGCTGAGGGAAGGCCCAGCAGGGCTGCCGTCAGGAGCAAGGTGGTCTTTCCGGAGGTGAGGTGGGCCTTGGGCACAGGGGTGGTGGGATGTGGAGGGCAGGTGGGATCTCACAGGCTTTTGGCCACCCGGGAGCCGGGGCTGGAGGCAGCCCTGAGGAGAAGCAGCGCTGTGGGACCCCTCCTCACCTGCAGCCCGCCTTGGGCTGGGCCTGCCTGTGACCCTAGGCAGCGTGGCCTCTGCCCGCCAGCTGGCCTGGCTCCCGGGCCACAGGTGAAGCAGCAGCAGCCAACCTCGGGGGCAGCTGGGCCAGGCCGGGCCACTGGGGAGAGAAGCAGCTGCAGCTGACCGTCCCGAGAGGCCGGAGGCGAGATCTCTGGACGGGAGGGGACCTCCCCACCTGGTTTCTCCCTCCGACACCCGAACCACACACAGGCTGAGTCGTGGCCAAGCTCGGCGTGGTGGGAGACCCACCGCCCTCCCCACCCGCAGATCGTGACCGAGCCCCAGACAGAGCTGATGCCCCAGAGACCCCAGAGGACGGCCCAAGCTCGAGTCCAGAGGTCTGGGTGCTGCTGGGGCCTGGGGCGGAGCGCCACCCTCTCGGGTCTCAGCCGAGGCTGTGAGCTAAGGAGGCAGGAAGCAAGCGAGACAGACACCCTGGCTTCCTGACCCTGTGCGGCCTGGGGGGGGGGACGGACGGAGCCTGCAGAGCTGCTTTGTCTCCCTCTCTGGCAGCCCCTCCCCTCCTTCCCTGCCACACTGTTTATTTGCTACCAGGACCCAGATTTGTCCCTCAGGACCCACACCCACCGTGCAGGCCAGGACCTCACTCCCCACCAACATTCCTCAGCACTTGGGGGCGCGCCCAGGCCCAGCGGCCCTCCGCCCACCCGCGCTCTCCACAGGGGTCAGCCGCATGAATTGGCTGCTTTGGGCCGGTGGCCGGCCAGCCCTCGGCCCCTTAGCTCTCCCACATCCTGGGTCAGCGCTGCACGCCCCACACCTGCCGCCCACAAAGCCCACCCACCACAGGACACCAGGCAACGAGGTCCTGCCCCTGGAGGACACGTGGCCACGACTGAACAGTCTTGTCATGGCTTGGGGCACTGCTGGCATCCGGTGGACAGAGGCCAGGGCGGCCGAGAGACCCCTGGAGGAAAGGGATGGCCCCACAGGGGGTCTCTGTCACAACACATCAGTTGTGCTGATGGGGACCAGCAAGGCACCTCCCAGGCTGGTCAGAGTGCGGGGGACGCCCAGAGGCCGAAGCCCTCGGCACCGTCTCTCCGCATCTCAGCCAGGAGAAGCAAAGCAGAAGGGCCCGCGCTGCTTTCCCACAGGGACACGGCCAGCAGTGGGAGACGCTGGCTCAGAGCTGGCCTCTCAGGAGCCCCTGCCCAGAGCCAGGGCTGACGGAGCCCTGGGCTGACCCTGACCAGTCTCAGAAGAGACTCGGTTGGTAGGTCCTGGACCTCTGGGAGCAGTGGGGTTGGGGTGCTGTGTGAGACCAGCCCTGCTCCTGCCTAAGCGCCCCCCACATCCACAACACAGGTGGGTCGAGGCCCCAGGAGCAGGGGCTGCCTCCCGAGGACCAGGGAGCCGCCAGAGCAGCACGGTCACTCAGCTCTGCCCCCCACCCTCACTTCCAGGGAGACAGAGAGACCCGCCATCACCCTGATTGGGAGGGCAGGCCCCATGCCCTTCAGAAGGGGACACACAGGCAGGGGCAGCCCCCTCCCACCTACGCCTGGCCCTGGAGGACAGAGGAGGCCGTGACTCTGATTGACTGTGGCCCTCGCAGGACCTCCCTGCTCCCTCCCAACAGCCTGTGGGCAGGCCATCTGGTCCCCGCTAGCCCCAGTTCACAGTTTAGGACCGAGACCCAGAGAGGTAAAGGGACTCACCAAGGACACCAGGCTCCCAGGTCCTGCCCTGGCTCCGTCCCCTCACCACAGGCCACTGCCAGCACACCCGGGGGCGGCGGCTGGCGGTACCTACCAGGTGCCCGGCGGCTCTCACCAGCTGGTGGGTGGAGAAGGGGAAGGCCGAGTTACTCAGGTCAGCGTCCAGCACCTCCTGCAGGATGGCCCGGCTAGGAGCAAGCACAGAGGGTCAGTCAGTGAGGCTGGGCTGGAAGACAGGGGACAGCAGCAAGCAGGACGTGTCCCTCTCCTCATGGGACAAGTGCGCACCACGGATCCCATCAGGGGGAAGCCACCTGTCTGCTGCTGGTTCCAGGACTCCTGGTGGGTCAGCTCCGGTCCCGGGCAGTGACCAAGGCAGGCCAGTCGTCTGACCACGAATGCCCGGACACCCCTGGCCTGGTCATCAAGAAAAGCTGGCCAAGGTGGCCTCTGTTTTGCCCAGAAAATACAGTGATTTGTCCAAGCTGGAGCTGGGTGGACAGGTCCCCGTCCAGCAGGAGAGCACTCCAAGTACCCGTCCTGCTCCCCCAGGCGTCCCCCAGCGGGCCCTCAGCCCCCACCCGTCTGCAGGGGCACTGGAGCTCGCTCAGTGCCCAGCAGGTGACCAGAGCCGTCCTGCCTGTTGGAGGACTGTCACCGACCAGAGGCAGGGCCAGGCCACGTGACCATGTGTCACAGCTCATATCCACTAGTCTGTGGCTCCAGGGGGGAGTCTTCCTTTCCCTCCCAACTCCACGCTGTCAGCAGAACCGGCCCTTGTGCTGCTGAACTAACTGCCTGCAGCCTTGCGGGGCCACTCGGCGGTGACCCATCCCAGGACCCCAAGCCCGTGTGTCTCCTTGTAAATTCGCCCCTCCCGGGCCCTCCCCACCCTCACCCTGCCCTGTTTAACCCTGCCTCACCCTGAAGCTTGGCCCAGCGGCACCTCCTCCAGGCAGCCCTCCCTGACTGCGAGTCTGGTCCCAGTCTCCTGCCAGGCTTGTCTCCCACTGGGAGCTCTGTGCCAACGGGACCCACCTCCCAGCGTGCCTGGCGACACAGGATGTTCAGCACCAGGCATGGCAGCTGGCATGGCAGGTGAGCCCCCCACTGGCTGCAGATGTCCTACTTCCACCCGGGGTCCCCACAGGCGCTGGGGCCACTGCCCAGAAGTGCTGCTGACCCTATTGCCACCCACGGTGCTGGCACTGCCTCCTCCTCTGAGAGCACACTCTGCAGCCGGGGGCCACACTGCGGGGAGGTGGCGGCTGAGCTGGGGCTGCCGAGCACCTCTCCCGGGAGGGAGCTGCTCCTGGGGCCAAGGTGTCCAGGGCTCTGACCCAGGCTGTGGCCTCAGCAGAGCCAGGGGAACCCAGCCCCAGGGACCACGTCAGGGAGGATCAGGCAGGCACCCCGTCTGCTGAACTGTCCCTCCCTGCAGGAAGTCAGGTGGCCACAGGGCAGGGGCCTCCCCGTCGGAGCCCCAGGTGCAAGTCCAACACCCGCACTTAGCCCTGGCCTGGCCAGCCTTGGCTCCCTCTGCTGAATGGGGACAGAGACGTCCCCTCACAGAGCCCTCAGAGGCATCAAGCACCTGGCCTTGCTGACGGGACAGTGGCGTCACCTCCGCCCTGGCCACACGAGCCTGCTGTCTGGATTACCCGTCAGCCGTGCTCGCCACATTCCAAGGGCCCAGGAGCCAGGCGGGCTTGGCAGCTGCCCTCTGGAGAGTTCCGTGGGGCAGCAGCTCCTGTGGTGCCCCCACATCGCGCCCTCACATCCAGGCCCTGTGCTGAGTGCCTCCCACACAACCCGAGGGCTTGGCTCTCCTGGGTGCTGGGGACTCCAATGCATGTAGAAACCTGGGGTGTCCTTGAAAGGGAGGGGACGCTTTAGAGGCGAAAGCCGGAAAGTCACTGGGATGCGGCAGGTGCTGGCCCCGCCCCAGGGGAGCAGCTGGTAATGAGGCTGCCTGTCCCCAGGGGCCACCCCCTGACCAGTCTGCAGCCTCCCTGCCCACCTGCCTCCTCCACTCTAAAATGGCCCCTTCCCTATCCAAGGTCACCCTGGCCACGCAGGCTTGGGAGGGCTGGCCTCCCCCTACCCGGCCCCCGTTGGGAGACTGTGGGCTCCTCGGGTAGCAACAGGACCAGCTAGCAGCATGGGGCTCGCCGTGGGCAGGTGCTGCACAGGCACATCCCAGATGGCGCCATCCCGCCAAGTCTGCCATCCCTGACCCTCTCCCTGCCACATGCCCTCCAGCTCTGGCACTTACAAGCTGCGTGACCTTGGGGAAATGTCCCTACCTCTCTGTGCCTCAGTCTCCTCATCAGTAATGAAAGAACATCTACTTCAAAGACTAGTGCCACGGCTGGAAACCCAGGCTCCCAGCTGGTGGCTCTGAGCACACCTGTGTGTCTCCTTTTGTCCCCGAGACTCCAGTCCCTTCCCCAAAGCACAGCAGGTGGGTCTTCTCAAAGTGCACACCTGCTCACGACCCTCAGTGGCCCCCAGGAGTCCTCGCCAGGTCCTGATTCCTCGTGGGGGAGGGGGACAGGGCTCAGTAGGATCCTCAGAAGGACCGCGTGAGGGAAGGACCCGCCAGCCTGGCGTGGGGAGGCACCAGCGACTGGTGTAGGATCTTACTTTGGCGCAAGTGGCCGGTAGAGCCCCGGCCGGGGAGGGTGGACTGCAATTCCTGGCTCTGTGACTGACCCAGACCTGACTCACTGCAGGCCAGGCTGACCATCACGTCCAGGGCTGTCTGATCTGGTGCTCTGAAGGTCATTTATTGGGCATGACACCTCTTGGTTTACCAGCGTGGTCGGCTACTCAGAATGTCCCATCTGGTTCTGCCCAAGGGCCCAGGTGGAGGGCCCGGGGTCCAGGTGAGGTCAGGTGAGCCCAGGTGCACCCCGTGCTCAGGTCCCCATCTGGCTCACCTGGCTGGGCCCTGGATGCTGATCATGCCCAGGTCCTCGGAGCTGTCGATGAGCTGGCACCGGAACTTCTGGTCCTGCAGGACGGTGCTGATGTGCGACCAGTTATGCTGGGCCGCAGCCCCGCCCACAGCCAGGTAGTAGCCGTCCCCTGGAAGAGCAGCGCCAGGCTTAGAAGAGGACCAGGGGACGAGGATGTGCTAAGGAAAGTGAGGGTAGCCCAAGGGCCTCCCATTTGAGAAAGCGATGCCCTTTCCTTGAGGGTGACCCCCGAGGATCGGAGGCCTGAGCTGACGGGGCGACTGGGGTGTGCAAATGGGACAGAGGTGTTGACCCACCGTGGGGCCAGGCATCGGCCTGGACACCCAGCTGGATGCCTGGGCCTGAGCTGCAGTTACGGGGAGAAGAGGCACAGAGCCAGGCAGAGGGAGAGAGCCATCCCCAGCAGGAGGGTGACCGCCTGCCTCCTCCTGGCAGGAGCGGAGCTGGCCCACAGGAGCTGCTCCCGAGCACCACAGCCTGAGGCTGGAGAACAAGCCCAGCCACATCACTACCCAGCAAGGCTGCCTCTGCCCGATGGAGCCCTCCCATCCCCAGCTTGGCCACACGGGAACAGCAGGGCATCAAGCTCAGCCCCAGCCTCCCGCCAGCATCGTCCTGCCACCAGTGCCCTCCACCCAAGCAGGCGGCAGCTGCAGCAGCCCCACACAGGGTCTCTTACCTTCAAAGGCAGGAGCCAGGGGGCCGGCCTCGGGGCCAGGGGCCAGGCGGCTGACCGTCAGGTCGCTCTCGGTGCCCCCGCGCTGGTTCAGCATGCAGGTGTACACCGTGGAGCCTGGGGGCCGGGGAGAACCAGGTCTGTTCAGAAAGGCCAGGGTGGGTGGGCAGCAGGGTGGGGCAGGCGTGGATGAGTGGAGGGCGGCTAGCAGCTCGCCTCATTCTGGAGAACCCCTTGGCAGGTCACCCGCAGGAGGTGGCCTTGGAAGACCCCTGGACTCAGTGATTCCATTTCTACCAGGTGACCCAGAGGGCCACCGAGGGGAAGGTCACCCACACTGTGGTCCTGGGAGGGAGGCTCCTTCCTCCTGAGCTGCTTGCCTCCCACTCCATCCCTCCCAGCGGTCACCAGAGGTTTCCAGGGGCAAGAGCCACCCCTGCCTCAGCCCTGTGCCTGCTGAGCAGAGGCCATAGAGGTCTGTGGAAAAGGGTCATGTGGGTGGACAGAGGACAGACAGGCAAAAGGGAAGGTGGGTGATGGACAGACAGGTGGAGGGCAGGAGGGTGTGGCCAGCGGGGGCGGGGAGGACGGTGGAGGAGAAAAGGACAGGTGGAAGGGGGCGGAGATGGTAGGGCTGAGTGGTTGGGCAGGCAGAGGGCGCCTCGGGGTGAGCAGGAGACACCCAGCCCTGGTAGGTGGGACCTTGGTGGCTGGACGGAGGCTGGATGGAGAGTGTTACGGTCAAGTTGTGTCCCCAGACAGACATGTGAAGAGCTTCCCCAGGACCTGGGTGGTGGCCTTAGGGGGAACAGGGTCTCTGTTACCTTATGTAATCCAGCTATGGGGAGGGATCCTTAGGGTGGGCCCGGTCCCCATCCCGTGTGACTGCCCTCCTTACAGGAAGGAAATGCAGGAGAAGGCCGTGTGGCATCAGGGACAGTGGCGTGGACCAACTGAAGCCCAGTCAGGGCAAGGTCCCCAGCCAGACAGCAGGTGCCACACTGGGGAGTCCAGAGGGAGCCCACCCAGGGTCTTGGGGAGTATAGCACAGCCGATACCCCAATTCCAACATCTGGCCACCAGAACTATGAAACAATAGACTTCTGCTGTTTTTAAGCCACCTGTTTGGTGGCACTGTGACTGCAGCCACAGGAAATGAATAAAGAAGAGAGCAGGTGGGTTTGGGTGGTGCAAGGGTGAGCAGTACAGCAGGCAGGGAGTGGGCAGGAGTGGGCAGGAGTGGGCAGGAGTGGGCAGGAGTGGGCAGGGAGTGGGCAGGAGTGGGCAGGAGTGGGCAGGAGTGGGCAGGAGACACCACTGTAAAATTATTCATTATTCATCCAAAGTCAAATTCAACTGAGGGTCCTGGATTCTTAATTCTGGAAACCCTACCTGGGGACAGCATCCTGGAGGCAGAGGCTGGGCCCTCCTGTGCCAGGAGGCAGCCCTGAGGGCCTGCTGCCACGCCTCCTTTCTGGAGCTAAGAAAGAAGGAAGCCAGAGGGAGGAGAAGGAAGGACCCACTGTGGGGCTGGGCAAGGAGACGGCCCTGGAGCCCGGGGCTTGGAGGTATCAGAGGGGCTGGAGGTGTCTAGGCCAGGCCCTAGGAGGGGCGCTGGGGTCATGACCCCTGCCCCTGTGTCTCGTGCCTGGGGCTGCACTGTGGTGCTGGGTATGGGAGGAGAGTGGCCCACCACTCAAGCCTGTACCTGGGGGTCTGCTGACATCTGCAGAGAAGAGCCAGTCGGCAGCCTTGCTGGCATCCAGCCCCAGCAGGTAGAACTTCCCAAAGTAGGACATGTTGAACACAGCAGCAGCCCCTCTGCAGGTCAGACACTCCTTCTGGATCTGAAAAGTCCCGGGGTGGATGTGCAGGGTCTTTGAGGTGCCCTTTCCCCTCACCACTGGGGGCTGGGCCCTCCAATGCACCTGTTCCGAGCCTCCCCTCCTCCCTCCCAGACTGAGCCAGCCCTTCCCAGCTCAGGACACACTCTCTCCAGCACAGGGAACATTCTCTAGGAGAGATCACTTGCTCAGTCATAAAACCAGGCTCGGCAAATTCAAAAGGATTTAACTTACACAAGGCAGGTTCTTTGACCTGCAAAATTAGAAGCAGAAAAAAAACTGGGAAATCCACAAATAAGTGGAAATTAAAGAGAACACTCTTAAAGAACCAACAGATCAAAGGGCACTAAGGAACTACTGTGAGGTGAGTGGACGGACACGACACCCAACCTACAAACACTTGTGAACATGTAAAGGCTGTGCTCACACGGAAGGCGATAGCCACACGTGCCTATGTCATAAGAGGCTCAACAACCCAACCTTCCACTTTGAGAACCTGGAAAAAGGGCACACTAAACCCAAAGCAAGCAGAAGGAAAGAAATAATAAAGATTAGACTAGAAAAATCAGCAAAACCAAAAATTGGCTCTTTGAATAGATCAACAAAATTGACAAACCTTTACTAAAATCAGCAATGAAAGAGGAGCCATCACCACCCACCCCACAGACAGAGGAGGGTCCTGGGGAAAGAGGAGCCATCACCACCCACCCCACAGACAGACTGATAATAATACACCACAAATTAGTTTAGAATGGACAAATGTCTAGAAAGCATGAATCACTGAAACTGGATAAAGATGGAAAAATATGAATAAAATTGCAACAAAAAAAAGAGATTAGGGCTGGGGTTGTGGTTCAGTGGTAGGGTGCTTGCCTAGCATGTGTGAGGCACTGGGTTTGAGTCTCAGCAACACATATAAATAAAAAAAGAAAGAAAGAAAAAATTTTTAAGCCTTTAAAAATTTCCCACAAAGCAATGCCCAGGCTGGGGCTGGGGTTGTGGCTCAGCGGTAGAGCACTCACCTAGTACGTGCGAGGCACTGGGTTCAATCCTCAGCACTACACAAAAATAAATAAAATAAAAGTATTGTGTCCAACTACAACTAAAAAATAAATATTGAAAAAAAGAAGAAATGCCCAGGCCCAGATGTCTTCACTGGGGAATTTTATCTAACATTCAAAGTAGTGATACCAATTCTTCACAAATTCTTCCCAAAAAATATCACAGTAGGAAATGTTATTCCAATTTATTCTAGGAAGCCAGCATTATCCTGATGCCAAAACGAAAGATAAAATAAAACTATGGACCAACATCCTTTATGAATGTAGACACAATCCTCAACAAAATACAGCAAACCCAATCCAACATCAAGGAAGGATTCTACACCATGATCAATAGGCTCATCCCAAGAACGTGAAGTTAAATCACATTAAGAGAATAAAAAACGAAAAACACATAATCATTCAATGCAGAAAAAGTACTTGACACAAATCACGATAAAAACAAACAAATGACAGAAGGAGCTCCCTCAACCTGGCAACCTACAAAAACCATGTAGTACATACACACTGTACGTCTTGATCAAACACTGACCCCCACCCACAAGATCAGGAGCAATACCACTCCCACCAATTGTATTCAACTTTATATTGGAGGCCCTAGCCCGGGCAATTAGGCAAAGTAACAATAATAATAAACGGGATCAGATTGGAAAAGAAGAAGTAAAAATACACCTATTTACAGATAACATGACTTTACATATAGAAGATCCTAAAGAACCCACTAAAAAAATTATTAGAACTAATAAAATAGTTCAAAAGTTTGCAGGATACAAAGCCAACAGACCAAAAATAAAAATAATAAAAGTTATTGTATTTCTATAGACTAACACTGCACATTCCGAAAAGGAAATGGAGAAATAATTCCATTTACAATAGCATCAAATAATAAAAATGCTTGGGGAATGAGGTTAACGAAAGAAATGCAAACTCTGTACTCTAAAGAACTGGAAACGTTTTGGAGAGAAACTTAAGAAGACCTAAAGAAGTGGAAGGACAGCCCGTGCTCATGGGGAGAAGACATAAGCTATGTCAAGGTGACAACACACCCCTCATTGTTCTCCACAGTCCACAAAATCCCCACCGAAACCTCAGCCGGCTCCTCGGCAGACACTGACCAGCTGACCCCAGAATCCACAGGGAACCATAAGGGACCAGGATGTTCCAAACAATCTTGGGGACAAAAGAGCAAATTGGAGGACTCACATTCCCTGTTTGCAAAACTTACTGCAAAGCTAGTAGATAAACCAGAGTTGGACTGACTCAAGGATGGACGCAGAGGTCAGCAGGGTGCAATCCACATTCTGAAAATAGACCCTCGTGTGTACGGTTAACTGGTTTTTCAACAAGGGTGACAAGAGAGTCCCATGGGAGTGAGGTACACACTCACCTGTCCAAGCCCAAAGCATGGACTATAGGACACAGGAACAGCAAAAAGGCCAGGCTTTACTTGATTGATGGTCGAGCGAGACCAGGTGTCCGGGAGCGGGCACACCCAGAGCACTTACAACCAGCACTCTACCCTGAGAGCACAGGTCCCCCTGGCTCCTTGTTGGCTGAGTACCGTGGGGTGCACAGTCTTCCTGGGGTCATCATCTAGGTTTTACTGTCTCCTATTGGGCTGTTTAAAGAAATGGACCTTTAGTTGTCCCCACCTCCCCCTGTTCCCCTGGGGCAGGAAAATCTTGGATCCAGTGTTTTTGGCCCATGGGTCAGGTCACCCCTTCCCTCGCCTCCTGTTTGCCAAGAGGCTATGAATGATCTGGTGTTACCTGCTTGTAACTCTCCGCTCTGCTCTGTCTCCCCCCGGCTGCCTTTCCTACATCCCAATTTTACACTTAGGGCTGAACAGTGTATTCTGAAAAGGGACCAACACACTTTCTCACAGGAGAGTCTCCAACACAGAGCGCTGTGATAGCACGACAGCCACATGCAAAAGAATGAATCTGGACCCCTTCCTCACACCATGCACAAACCTTATCTCAGAGGAGCTAAATTACAAAGCCCTCAGGAGAAAACTCAGAAGGAAATGTCTGTGACCTTGAGTTAGTTTCTTATACATGACGTCAAAAATGCAAGGGACAAAAAGGAAGGAAGAGATGAGTCAGATGTCATCTAAATTTTAAGTTTCTGCTGCAAAGGACACCATCCTGACAGTGAGAGACAACCCCACCAGGAGAGAATGTTTGCATATGATACCTCCAAGGGGCTCCTATCCAGGGTGTTTATTTCAAAAAATCTTTTAACGCAATGATAAAAAGACAAGCAACTCAATTTAAAATAAGCCAAAGGTCTGAATAGACATTTCCCCAGAGAAGATATCGAGGGGCCAACAGCCCACGAAAAGGTGTGCAAGGCGAATAGTTAGACACGCAGGTCAAAACCGCAACGGGACCCCTCTTCACCCCCTGCAGCTTGGAGAGAGTGGCCGTCGAAGCCGGGGAGGAGCTGGAACTCACACACACTGCTGGGGGGAGACCACTGTTGGACAGAGTGACCACACCTCGGCCACTCCAGCCCGGGCATCGGAACACAACCTGCACCCGGATGTTCCCAGCACACCATTCATGACTGCCCCAAACGGGAGCAACCCTAAGGCCCATCCACAGACGAATGGACAGATGAACTGTGGCATGTGCCTGCAGCAGGCTCCAGTTTGCAAGAGGCAGCGAGTACAAACACCACACACCACCACACGCCACCACATGCCACCACACGCCACCACACGCCACCACACGCCACCACATACCACCACACAGAAGGACCTTGAGGATATTCTGCTAATGAAAGAAACTGGCCACAAAAGCACATCTATTTTATGAATCCCCTTAAATGGATTACACGAGGCAGCTCCTAGAGACAGGAAGCAGATTAGTGGCTGCTGTGGCCTGGGGTGGGACAGGGTGGATAAGGGGGTGTCCAGAACTAGACTGCACTGATGGCCGTGCGACGGCCCTGTGAACTCACTGAAAATCCCCGAATCCGGCCCTTTCGATGGATGAACCACACGGTATGTGAATCATGGCCAACCCAGCTCTCCCACTGCCCTCCCCACGGCCCACCAGCACCTCAGTGGGTCTTCGGCCTTCCCTCCCACACTGCCCCCTGACCACTGAGCAGACCATGACCAACCCTGAATGTGACCATGGCAGCGGCTTTCCCACACCAGGCGGGCCCCATGTGCCTCGGGCTGCACTATGTCCTTCCCAGCCCGCCCCACAGGTGGCCACCGCCAGGCTCAGGTGCCCTAGGGGGCCTCGGGTGGCACAGGAGCAAAGGAGCCCATGGGAGCCCACTGTGGGTCTCGGTCCCACCTCAATGCTCAGAGATGCCACACAGGGAAACATGGAAATGGGCCAGTGTCCACTCCAGGCAAATGGGCAGCACTGCCGCCCAGCTGCCCCCTGGGACAGGTGGTCACTCTGCAGCACACCGTGGGCATCTCCTCCTCCCTGCCCTTCAGCTGCTCGTCAGCCTCCCTCCTGACATCACTAGCCTTTATGGAGCACCCACTGTTTGCAGACCAAAACCAAAACCCCAAGCAGCGTCCTGGGCTGCTGCCGGCCGTCTGCCCAGCCTGGGGCGGCTGCCAGCACTGACAGTGAGCGCGTTTCCTGCGCTGGGACCGTCTCAGCCGCGGTGCGGAGGCTGGTGAAGACACCCAGCCAAGTTGGCATCTCCCGGAGCCTCCACATCCTCAGGGCCGGGAGTCCCAGAGGCTTCGGGAGCTGCAGCCTGAAGGTGCCAGACGCAGCCCCGCAGCCCCGCGACTCCCGTGAGGGAGGCACCGCCAGGGACTGGGCGCTGAGCCCGCCTGCAGCTCCCGCGCTTCGTGACCAGGGGCCTCCTGCTTCCCCCTCAGCACGGCCTCTCCCCAGGCCTCTGCCCAAACTTGCACTGGAGCAAGCTTTGGGGACAGTGGGGACAGTGGTGGAGATAAATGGTCCCCTCCCTCAAGACCCGCTCCTGTTGAAGGAGCACTGGGGGCTTCAGGGCAACACAGAGAGCATCAACCTTCTCAGCAAGGTTGAGCAGAGTGGCTCCCCCATGAAGCCCTGTCAGGCACCAGGGCCCCTCCCGAGGCTCCCCACCCAGGGCCCTGGGTCCTGCTGAGGGCTGGCTCTGCTCCCAGACCAGGCACAAGGGCCCAGGAACAGCAGTAGTGCCCAGCAGGTGGCTGGGCTAGGGGTGGGCGGGGCTTTGCTTATTGCACGGGAGCTGCCTGCGGGGTGCAGGCTGCTGGAGGGGAGGCCCAGCCCAGGCTCAGCCCAGGGTGATGGGGAGCCGGGCACCAAGGGGCTGTGGGCTGCCCGGGGCTCCATCTGGCCAGCTTCACCTGACCATTTTTGGAGGAAGGGGCAGAAGTCTGTAGCACGCAGATTGTACCAGCAGAGCTTCCCCAGATCTGTTCCCTGCTGTCCCCTGGAGGGGCCATTCAGGGGCCAGGTGCCCAGCATCAGCAAGCCCACCTTGTCCTGGACCTACAGCTGTGGTCAGAGCCCTCTGCCGGAGGAAGACCCATCCGTCAGGCAGCCTCAGGACCAAGAAGGGCTCAGAGGGGTGCTGGCCTGGCCTGAGGCCACACAGCCAACCCAGGCCACCTGGCCCACCTCCCAGGCCTCCTGGCCCACCCACGCTGCGGCTGCCCTGAGCAATGGGATTTGCCCTCAGGTGATTCTGCTGACAACCACTGTCAGGTGACTGTCCCACAGCTGAGTCAGCCGGGGCAGGGCATGAGGCTGGCAGGAGCCCCAGGGGCTGGGCTGAGGGCCCCCACAGGCAGCTCAGGGGAGAATTCTGCATGAGGGGCGGGGAGGGGGATGGGGAGGGGGACTGGGCCACGGGAGGGTGCCGGCTGCTTACCACACGGTGGTGGGGCGGGAATTCGAAGGTGTATTCGTCCCCCAGCAGCCTGGTGTAGGCACAGTCCTGGTGCACCTGGTTCCCGTAGGCCCCGTAGTAGTCGTAGTCGGGGACCTGGGGCAGAGGACATGGTCACTGCCCGCCTCCCCTCTTCCTCTCTTCCTCCCTCCCTCTCTTTACAAATAGGCTGGGCCCACCACTGGGCAGGTAGTGCGCTAGTCCTGGGAGACAGGCTGGTGCTGCCCTTAGCGCCTCCTGTCCAGTGGGCATGCGTGGGTGGTGGACCCGGGGTGGGAGGGCGTGCAGCCTAGGCAATATCAACAGCTGCACAGGTGGCGCCTGTTGCTGGGTCTAAGAGCTGGGGACCAGTAGGGGCCCTGGGGTGGGGAAGAAGAGGCTGGATCCCAATTTAGGGAGTGAGGGGTGAGGAGGCCAGAGAGGCTCTCAGGGCGCTGTTGGGCAGAGAGGGAAGTGACCCGCTGAGAAGGGCGAAGGTCAGGGGTTGGCACGTCCCGGCCATGGCGCAGGTGCGATTTCTGTGGGACTCGTTTCCACCCTGGGACAAGCCCTGCTGATGTGGCCCATGCTCCTCACAAGGGTGACCCCTTCTGCAGATGAGGAATCTGAGGCACAAAGAAGTCACACCTTGCCTGAGGTCACTGACAAGCACCCAAGGCTGTGTCATGCTGGGCGAGCGTGAGTGGGGGCTCCGTGTCGGGCTCCTGCACCTTCACCTCACCTCTCCTGTGAGCTGCCTGCCTCTCTCAGATGCCCCACGACCCTGGGACCTCCTGGCCTCTGCTCCTGCTAAAGCCCCCTTCCTCCCTGCCGGCCCCTGCACAGGGTGTAAGGAGCAGGCCATCCTCACCTCCAGGGCCGCCAGTCTGCCTGGGGCCACGCCTTTCCACAGGTGGGAACCCAGTGGAACTGAGGACTGCCTGGCGGGCTCCACAGCCCCTCTCCCTCCCTAGCGGGGCATGCTCGCCCGCCCTGGAGACCCCAGCAGGCCTACTCCCCCGCTGTAGCCCCAAAGAGGTGCCAGGAATCAGGAGGCATCTCCCAGTCTCCTGGACTCCCAGATGGCCCCCTTGGGTGAAAATCTGCTCATGGGGCCCAAGGGTATTCCACGCCCCTCTCCTTGTCCAGGACTCCAGGACAGAGGGGCTTCCAGGCTTAAAAGGGCAGGTCTGCCCAGGCCTAGCCTTCTGCACTGTCCCCAGGGACCATATGTCCTAGGGACTAGCGAGAGAAGTGGCAGTGACTGAGGAGGCTCTGAGGACATCCACACGGGGCCCAAGGCCCTGTGAGCCAGCTGTGGCTCCCGTCTCCCCTAAGGGTGCCCAGGAAATGGGCCATGGAGGTGGGTTGCCATGGAGATGGGGGAGGGTCCCACTGGGAGAAGGCAGAGCAGCACAGCGACAGGAAAGGGCTTGGTGCACAGATCCGCACCCAGACCAGCCCAGCCCAACCCGTCTCCAAGCCCCAAGGCTGCTCCAAGGGCCCATCCCCAGGAGGAGCAGGGAGGCCCAGGAAGGTCCTCGGAGGCCAGGGCGTGGGGCATCTCAGTAGACAAGCTGAACACATCGAGCATAAACCCTCCCACTAACCAGCCTCCTACTAACATAAACTAACAGTTGGAGTTGCCAAAAATACGTGCAGAAAGCTATGTGAAGACGGCCGAGTCCCTCCCACCACCGGGGAGTCTTCGAGCTGTGCCCAGGCGGGACACCCTCTGCTCTGCCCACAGAGCGCACCCGGGCAGGGAAGCCTGCACAGTGCCCGGGGAGGCCTGGCTGCTCTCCGGCTGCACCGCCTGCTCTGAACCGGGCTTGCCCTGACTCAGGGTGGGCTGAGGGCAGCAGGGCAGGTTCACAGGGCTGCACAGACCCTCAGCCACCGCTGGGACCACTCACCGGAGCGGTCCCCTGAGGGCTGAACCATCCCGGCCGCTCCCAGCCGTGCCGCTCCTGGAACACACAGCCTTGTTCAAGGAGCTCCTGTGGGAAGGGACAACACCTGTCACACAGGGCCAGGTCCCCCGCCTGATTCTTCATCTTTCTTTCCTTTCAACTTTTACAGTCCCTTTCTTCTGTCAACTGTGCCACTCCTCATCTCAATTATTGTGATGCGTCTTCAAGCCCAGGTTGGCCTGGCTCTAATGCTTTCCACATTCTACTTTCTAAATGATGAACTAAAAATCCAAATCTTTGAAAAACCTAAAGATCTGGAGTTCTACAGCCAGTGCATCCCGGAGCTCCCCCGCACCCCGTGCCTCCCCAGGAACCCCCAACCTGGAGAAGTATCAGCAGCTATGGACCACATCGTGTCCCCACAAACTCCTGTGGCGAAGCCCTAACCCCAGTGACCTGTGCTTGGGGTCAGGGCCTGTGAGGAGGTAAGAGGCTAAACGAGATCCTAGGGTGGGTCCTAGTCCATAGGACAGGTGCCCTTTTAAGAGAGGCCAGAGTGCCCTCTGTCTTCCCCGTGAGGACACAGGCGACCGCCCACGGGCCAGGAGCTCCTCTCCAGGCAGTGAGTACAGGAACCCTGACCTCCAGGCTCAGAGCACTCAGAAAATCCAGGTTGGAGTGTGTGACCAGCAGCTCTGCCTGCGTGTGCACCCAGGGCAAAGCAGGGCCTCACTGGACACTCCACATGGACGTCCACAGCAGCTGCTCACTGTCACGCAGGTAGAAGAGCCCTGTCACATGGACACTGAGCAGGGCTGATGGCTGCCCAGCAAGGAGGGGACTGAGTGCCCTAAATTGCACCCTTTAAAATGGGTAAAGGGCCGGCCTCACGCTCTGTGCTCTTACCACGAGGAGAACCACCAGGGCATAATAAAGTGACGTCCAGGCACTTTTCTCTGAAAATTAACTTGATTTGGGGAAAAAAAAAATCCCACTGTGGGTTTGGAAGAGTCCTGCCCACGGTCAACCCCACTGACCAGCACCAGGCAGTGGGCCAGGGCCAGCAGGGCATCTGAAGCTCAGACTGGCTGGCGGGCAGTGTGCCCAGCCCTGGGTGGCACAGGGCAAAGACAGGCACAGCTGCAACCGTCCCCTCCCTCCATCCATGGGGACCCAGGCAGGGAGAAGGGCTGGGTTTGGACACTGGCATGGCTTCCCTGCATGTTGGGGTCCCCGAAGAGCAGTGGTGAGTGCACAGTGGTGGGCGTGCCCCACTGGTCACCTTCAAAGGACAAGAAGGTTGGTCTCAAGATGCTAAAGGCGGAAGGCATCTCTATTCTAAAAAGCAAGTGTCGCAGGTGAAGCTCAGGAGGAAGAGAAGGACTGGGGGACCGAGGCTCCCTTCTGGATGGAGGGGTTCAGCCCCTGCAGAGCCTCCTGGGAAGGTCCTTGGGTTATGAGCTCACCTGAGCCATCATGAGCCCAGGGACCCTGAGTTCATTCGGGCAGGCCTCTGAGCTGTCGGGACTGGCAGGGGGTGGCTCAAAGCAGGGTCCAGCTGCAGAGACCCCAAGGTTCTGTGAGGCCTGGGAGCACAACTGGGCTGGAGCCAGCCCACTGACGGCGGACATCCCAGACCTCTCCTGGGGTTGGGGGGTGGTACAGCAGACACCAGGTCCTTTTGGGTCCTGGCATGGGAGGGTCAGTGGGGGGAGGCCCCTTCTCCAGCCTAGATGCTGCCTGCTCCCGGGGCCTGCCTCCTGCCCCACCTGTCCACTCCAGAGACTTCGCCTGAGGCCCTCAATTGTCAAAAACCATCACTCCTGTTCCCCAGTAAGCAGAGCCTCTGGCTAGGATGACCAGGGATGGACACCGAGGGACGCCTAGGTCCTGGGGCCAGGAGAGTCACAGCGCCGGCCCCAGGGAAGAGTGCCTGACGGTGGGTTTCATCACCTAGGTAGAAGCTCGCCCACCAGGAGAAGAGTATCCCAGCCGGCTGCGGAGCAGGAGGCCGGCCTGGGCACAGGGGTCTAGCTGCTGCCCTCCGTGCCCCTGCCTCCAGCACTGCTCCCAGCGTCAGGACAGTTCCTGGTTCTCCAGGAAATCTCCTCCCTTGGGCCCCACAGGAGCCCCCCCAGCCACCCCCGCCTCTCCCCAACCCTGGCACAGCACCCAGCACCCAGCACCCATGCTGGGATAACACCTGGGGTGGGTCTGCCTTCCACCACCCAGTACCCCGAGGACGTCCCAGAGGGTCACTGCAGCCTGTGGCCACAGGAAGGCACCTGGTGCAGGGCGTCTGTCCTCATGTTCCGCCCGGCCAGCGGCTCGTCATGGGGGAAGACCACGGAGTAGTTCTTGGCATAGGACTCGTGGCTGCGCTCGCGGATCCAGCGGCTGTGGTCCGTGAGTGAGTGGTGGAAGCGCCTGCCGTACAGGGAGGGCCCAGGTCACCGCCTGACGACACCGCCTGGGCCAGGTGGCCCAGGACCCAGCATAAACTGGACCCCCACCCTCCCCAGAGGCCTCCTGGGGCTAGGTGCCAAGAGGCCCCAGCCCCTCCCCTGTGGCCCCCAGGGCTGCCTGCAGAGTGGGGTCCAGGAGCCCAGGGCCTGCAGGGTCCCCTTCCCCACCAGGGCCCTGGGCTCGGGTCCAGCCTGTTCCATGGCCTCCACTGTCCATATTCTGAATGCTGAGGGTTCCTGGTCCCCACTCCTGCCTTCAAGTGGGACGGGCCACCTGGGTGAGACCCCACAGATCTGCTGCAGGACAGAGTCCGACCTCTGGCCCCGCAGGGTCAGGGCCCTGCAGTCCCCTCCCCACACTGCCCAGCTCTCAGACTCTGGCTCGCCCCAGCCTCCAGCGGTCTGCCCTCTCTAGCTAGGAGTCCCGTCACCCTCCGCGGTCCACCACCTGGACAGCCACGTCCTGGCCAGGCCTCTGTCCTCAGGGATACCTGTCAGAGCCTCAGTGGCTGGGCAGCTCCTGGACCGTGTGAGAGTCTGGCAAGGCATGACTCTGGTCTGGGGTGGGCAGTCTTGGGGGCGGGGAGCGGTCAAGGTGAGGACACTATTTCCAGTGTCCGCTCTCTGCAGGGGCCTCTCCTCCAGCCTGGGCCCAGGGCAGAGCACATTCTGCAAGAACCCTCTCCTCACCCTCAGAGTTGCCCTGTTCATAGGGCCCACATCACACTTGGGGACACTGAGGCTCAGGGGGCTCACGCCGGGTGAGGAGTCTGGAGGCCACCATCAAAAACTGTGTGTCCAGCCACAGGGGCAGCGTGCCCATGTGCAGGGCATGGGCTTGGCTGAGGAGGGCTGAGCTGGGGAGGGAGGCATCCAGGGGGACCCCTGGGCCCTCACTGCACTCCATGGCTGGGCTGCCCCTGGGCACTGAGGGCTGTGGGCACGAGCCAGGTGGTCTCTCAGCTGCTGGGAGTGCTGCTCCCGGTGGGGGCCCCTCCTTAGGCCCCGGGGTGGTGTGGCCAGGGCTGGGTGGGCCCTGTACCATCAGACAGCAGCAGACGCTGCTGGCCACGTGGCAGGCCCAGCTGGCCCCTTCTCCACTGGCCCTTCTGCTCCTATCTGTGGGGCGGGGGCCATGGGGCCTCAGCTCAGTAGGAGCAGGGTCAGAGACCTGCAGGGAGTGAAATCAGGCCCCCAACACCCCCTGTGGCCCACAGGGGCCTGTGAGCAGTGGGCAGAGGGACCCACAGCTGGGGCCGCAGCCAGGGCTACACTCTTCACTTGAACAAGGAAGGACTCTTCTCCTCGCTAACCTGCCCCAAGGGCCTTCCTGATAAGACGGACCTGCTCTGACCCTGCCCATGTCAGGTACTGGGCACAGCGTCCACTCGTGAGCCTCAGACGCACTCTGGGAGGTAGGTCATTGTGCCCAGTTCACAGAAGCAGAAATTGAGGCTCGGAGAAGAGGAGCCTCCAGCCCAGGGCCAACGGTGGATAGTGTGGGCTGGCGACTAGGACCCACCTGGCTCAACTCACTCCACCACCCTGCCACCCGGGGGCAGCTGCCCATGAGCCAGACACGCCCAGGACCCAGCACTGGCACCCACTGCCCTGTCCGGGGCCCTCCCGCTCCGAGCTTGCCCCCATGTGTAGGACAAGGGGTGGCTGTGGTGCACTCTGCCTGACCTCTTGAGGTCACAGGCAGGCACAGGAGCCCCACGTTTGGAGCCGGCCCTTCCTCTGAAGCCGGCTTCTCTGGACAGCTCTCTGCTGCGCCCTCCTTGACGCCTCACTCTCTCCTGCAGGGCCTGCGTCTTGCTCTGCCCTGGCTCAGGCCGGGTGGCGGAAGCTCTGGTGAGAGTGGACGGCTCCAGGTCCACAGCAGCCCTGGTGGTGGCAGGCGCCCACTCTGCTGCCGCGCCGGGTATGGAAGCCACACAGCACAGAGGGCTGGTGCCCCCAGGGACGGCCAGCGCTGAGGACAGCCCCAGCTGCACTGCTGGGTGACCCCCACAGGGTCCTGCGCTGCTGTCTGCAGGAGGAGCTGGGACCCTCCCTCCCCAGGTGTCCTGCAACTGTATCATTTCTAGAACATTCCTCCCTGGGGAGCATGCACGGGTGCAGCCCTGGATCAGCTCCAGGGGCCCAGTGCAGACCTCACTGACCAGGGCGGTGCAGGGCGTGGCATGGGATCTCAGCCCCAGACGTCTGTCCGCGAGAGCCAGACATCACCTCCCGCCGCGGGTAATGTCCTCCGCAGGCCAGGAGGGAAGGAGCCAGCGGGAGCGAGGGGCTCTCCCAGCTGGACACACCCCTCCACCCCACACTGTCCCCATCTTGGGCACATGGGCAGCCGGGTCCCCAGGGGTCTGCCTGACAGGAGCACATGGAGGTGTGGACCGAGCAGGGGCCAAGCAGCCTCCCGCCAAGATGCTCCACCCGGTGGAGTCCTGCAGAGCCCAGTGTGCCCGGCCAGGGCCAGCTGTGAGCTCAGGACACTGTCGTGGGCATGAGCTTTGGGCTTGGGTCAGGAGAGAGTGGGGAGCCACCCTCCTTGTCTGGGAGCACCTGGACACGGTCCTGGACTCCAAGAGATGGCCCTGACTGCAGAAGGCCACGAGGCCGGCCACTGGGACCCTCCTGGCTCCTGCCACCAGCATCCAAGCCCCTGCCCCAGCTCCACCCAAAGCCAAGCCCCTCCCTGCGCCCAGGCCTGCCTGGCATCACATTCCTGCCCACAGCCCAGGTGGGCTCTGCCAGGGAACGAGGGCACAGGCCGCGGGCCAGAGCTCCTGCCCTGGTGACGGCACACGCACAGGAAGTTACTGTCCCAGCTCAGCCCTGCCCCCCAGCTCCACAGGCCTCAGTCTTCCCATGTGCAAAGTGGCCGTGAGGTCCTGCTGCTGGGGACAGAGGGTCAGGCAGGGGCCGGGACAGGAGACCCGGGAACCGTGAGGGGCCGTGGATCTGCCAAAGCCAGTGACCCCTGGACTCTGCTGCTGCTGCTGGCAGCCTCCTCCCCTTCCTCCCCCCCTGCTGCCTCCTCCAGGAAGGCTCCTGGCTTCCAGGGACGGCACCTTCCTGAAGAGTCCCCACCTTCTCCCCTCCCCATCCTGGCACTGCTGGCCCGGCCTGGGGACCTGGTGGCAGCACTTGCCTGATGTCGTAGCCATACATGTCCTTCTCTGGGCGCCCATGGATGATCCAGTGGGCCAGCTCCTGCCCGCAGCCGCCGCCCAGCATCATTCCTGGCAGGGGTGGAAGCACAGGGCTGCAGCGGTCCCCAGGCCCACGTCCAGTCCAGGCTGCCCTCTCCGCGGGCAGCACACCCCAAGCCCACTCTCACACTCCCCTGCCCACCCAGAGTCTGGGAACCCGAGGAGCTCGCCATGGCCCGGGCTCACCTGCACTGTTGAAGCCACAGCCCAGGAAAAACCCCCGCAGCTCAGGTGCCTCCCCCATCAGGGGCTTGTGGTCGGGCGTGAAGGACTCTGAAAGAGACGGGAGACCTGCAGCCCCCTCCAGCCCTCGGCCGCCCGGGGGGGGGGGTCTCCAGAGACAGCAGTGAGGGCAGCCAGGCCACGGGGCACAGTGACAGCCCAGGGGACTCCTGGCCGCCTTCCTCCCCAGCTCAGCCCTCCTAAGCCAAGGCCACCCTACCCCTGCCGGTGCCTGCTGCATTCAGAGCCTCCTGGCCTCAAGCAATGCCCTTTCAGGGAGCCTCCCTGGACCGCCCCTGTCCCATTCCCCTGAGCACCTGGGCATTTGCTGCCAGAGCCACCCAGGCAGGGCCTGCCCAGCTCCACCTGTGGGGCTCAGCTCTGTCCCAAGCTATCATTGTTCTGCCAACACAGGGCCTTTCCCGACCCCCTTGTCCACTGACCATGCAGGGCAAGGGATGGTTTTGCTCACTGCTGTGTCCCAAAGACAGCACAGAGCCCAGCAGAGGTGCTTAATAAATGTTTGTTGAATGAATAAGTGAGCATCAGTTCTTTGAGATAGGGGACTAAGATTTCCACTCTGCCCCTGCCCCTGTGCCTCAGAGCCCAGAACATGGAGGGAGAGGGACTCAGGGCCCTGATCATAAAGCTGCTGCCCCAGGCTCAACCCCACTCTACCCCTTCCTGGCTGTGTGAAGGAGATGGACAACACTTGAATGAGCAGGACCGAGGACACCTTGCAAGAAGGTGCAGCGGGTGAGGGTCAGCAGTGAGGACCGACTGCTCCTGGCCACCTATGGGCGAGGAAGCTGGTGGGCATTGGGTCTGGCGTATCCCAGTCACTCTACTGGTGGTCAGGGCTGCCTGGCCACCAGCGGGGCCTCAGCCTCTGACCCTCCAGGGTGGTGTGTGAGCAGAAGGCAGCCAACTGTGGGGACAGGAAAGTGCTGGGCACCTTCGAGGCAGGGCCGGCGGCTGGGAGAGGTGAGGCAGGCCTGGGAAGCTCCTCCCAGGTGTACTTGGTCGGAAATCTGCCCCGGCACCAAGAGGGACTGGGCTCCCAAAGAGGGGTGACTCTGTGTGCATGGGAGCGGCTCTGGGCCACATGGAGGAAGGGAAAGCACCCGGGGCCGGCCTTGGTTGGTCCAGCAGCCCTGGCTGCTTAGGTGGCACGTCACCAGGGGGACCTGGAGGCGGCTGGGTGGCTGCAGTTACTTTCAGCTGGTGGAGACAGGGAGAAGCTAGAGAAGAGGAGAGAGGGAAGGCTCTGACCCACGGAGGCTGCCCTGAGGCCAGGGCGGGGGTCCACTCCTCCCAGAGGGCCCCGGGGCAGGGGTGCCTGTGATGAGGTGCTGGGGACCTTCTGGGGGTCCTATGCGAGGCTGGTGGTGGGTCCAAGAGCTGCAGCAGTCATTTGGGCGAGAAGAGGGCAGTGGAGAAGGTGATGCGGGGGAGGAAGGGGCCAGCCTGGTGCAGGTGGGGTTGGCTTGTGACCACCGTGTGCTGGGCCGCTGGGACTGTCCCAGGCAGGCGGGGCAGCGCGTAACAGCCCTGCGGGGAGCCGGGGCAGAGCTCAGGAGGCACGTGCCAGAGGCCGGAAGTGAAAGGGCTCAGGCAGGACGGGCAACATGGGGACGCAGGGACCCCAGGCAGTGGACGACCACTTCCACTCTGATCTCCCAGCCCTAGTGGGCAGCAAGGTCGACCCCCAGGCTTCCCCAGGCCCGGGAGGCCCTGCTCTTCCCTGGGGGCCAGGCCATGGGCTGTGTCTGGGAGGAGACACGCTGGTCTCCTGACGAAACCACCCACTGCAGCAGAGACAGACGCAGAACGTCCCGCATGCTCACCTCCCCCAAAATAGGGCTTGTGGGGGAGTGACGAGTCCCCAGTCTAATTGGAGCGCAGAGCCACTGGGACTCTGCGTGCCCCCGGGAGTCTTCCTGCGCTTCTCGCCTCAGTCCCACGCAGTCGAGGGTGCTGCGGGAGATGGTGAGTCACGGCCACGCCGCGCCCACCTGCACACCGCCGGCTGCCCGAGCCCCATCTGCTGCTCCCTGGGGGCCGCGCACACACGACAGCCTGCCTCAGGAGCCAAGAGCCAGAGCAGTGTGCCTCAGCTGTGCAGACGCCAAGCACCTCTGGACAGGGGGCCGGACTCCGGCAGCCCCTCTGCATCAAGACTCCCCTCCCCTGCTGGCCCACGACCCTTGACCTCCTAAGCCCTGCCTCCACTTGCACTTGGGGCCAGGCCCGCACTGTACCTGTGGCCCCTCACGGCTGGGCCGGCCCTGCCCAGCAGGTGTTCCACCACACAGCACCCTTGAGGTGCCGGAGGGCTGACCACCACTGCTGGGCATGTCAGGGCTTGGGACCACCAACTCTCCTTTAGGGCAACGCTGTGTCTTTCTGAACTTTCCTTTCCAGGCCCTGAAGTGGGGGCAGGGCTAACACCCCTGGAGGGAGGGGGCATGCCTCCTCTGCAGGACCCACCAAGATTCTGCAGGACCCACCAAGAGGGACACGTCTACTGCCTGCCCTGCCCAGCACACCGTCCCACAGCCCAGGGCTGCTCCCTCGCTCCTAAGCAGCCTGGCCTGCTGCCTGCTGCTGCCGTGGGCCTCCCCTGCTGGCTGGAGACTGTCTGGAGCTATTGGGAACGACTGATTGCCCCATGAGCGAAGGCGGCACCCCTGGCTGGCTGAGGCCTCAGGGCCGCACACACTCGGCTCAGAAGCCCGCAGCTGAGAGTCCTGCTGTTGAAATCGGCCGCCAAGGTCAGCCTGAGGCTCCTGCCTCCCAAACACTGCCTCTCTGCCAGGACCTACACCTGCCCCTGAGACAGAGCCTGGGAGGCCCCGTGAGCACTGGCCCCCCTGGGCTGCCCCACCCAGGACCAGCCGCAGCCTCAGGAGCAGAGCCCACTCTCTGCTCCAGCCTCCCGAAGCCAGTGAGTAGGTCCTGTGGCTGGGAGCCCTGGCCAAGAGCCTCTCCTTCCCCCACTGGTCTCTGGCTCTGCTGGGTGATGGCCGCTGAGACCAGAGGAGGGGGCATGAAGCTGGGTGCAGAATGGGGAGGGGACACGTGAGCATCACATCAGGACAGGCCTCGTCCTTCCAGGCCTTGCCCAGCCTCTCGGGGTGCTGGACGGAACCCCGTTCCCACTCACAGATGAAAACCAAGTCCACAGATGCAGCTCTATCGGGACTCACACCTGCCCGGGGGGAGCCCTGGCCATGAGCCCGGGGCAATGACTGCCCTCCTAGGCCTGCAGAGGGGAGGAGAGCATCACCCAGCAAGGCCCAGGAGAGGCAGGTGCCAGGCTGGCCCCGGGTCCAGCCCAGGTCACCCTCAGCAAGGGTGTCCCCAGTAGCAGCCATCACCCAGGGACTGAAGACTGCCCACCCTGGGCTTAGGGCCCTCACCTGGGCCACAGACAGTGGACTTGATCCCTGTCCGCTCCAGCACAGGGACGCGGTTGATGGCGCCTTCGATGTGCTGGGAGAACACATCCCAGTCCAAGTCGAAGAGGCCAAAGGCAAACTTGTCCGACACCTGCAGAGGGGCACGGGGTGTCGGTTTTGGCCCTGAGAAGGACACACACCTCCTGCCAAACCTGCCCGTGACAGCTGCCCAGACCCCTGGCCAGACAGGTACCCAGCCAGCCTCCACTGAGTCAGGTCAATCTGAGGGCCAGGGCAGGGCTGCCCCGGGGAGCCCTCAGGTTGGGTCCCCTCTTGCCTGGGCCCAGCCCCCACCTGGCTGCCCTCGAGGTATCGCGCAACCTCCAGCTGGTCACCTGCCTCCCCGTCCTCTGACCTGTTCTAAAGCTCAGCATGCCCTCCCTGCACCTGGCTGCCTGTGACTAACCAGGAGCCATCCCTGCCCATTTCCCCAGTGACCGTGTCCTCTGATCTGCTTCAGCCCCTCAGAAGGGCAGGCCTGAGCCGCCCTGGGCCTCCTCACAGGCAGCTCCCTGCCCGGTGAGCAGCTGCCAGTGGGCACTGTTCTTGGTGCACTCTCCTTGGTGCTCCCTGGGGCCCCTGCCCTGACCACCCGTCTGCAGGACATCCTTTCTCCTCAGTCCCTCTGGAGGATCCAGGGTGACCACCCAGAAATAAGTGTCTTATCTGTTTGATTGCAAACCACAGGCCCCCAGGCGGGGACTTCCCCTGTCTCCTGCCTCCAGAGAGCAGAGCAGCAGGTGCCCAAGTGGCCAGCGATTGATCTGTTTGTGAACACAGGAGGGTCTGCAGGGGAGTAGCCAGACTGGGGAGACAGTGCTGCAGCTGTGGGGCAGGGAGGGCCAGCGTTGTCGCAGACGGATCAGGGCTGAGTGGACCTGGGCCCCTCTGGGGTCCCCACTGCCCTCCACACAGCCGTCGGCTGCAAGGCTCTGCCTGCCCTGGTTCTGCACGTGCCTGAGTGCCAGGCTCTTCGGGGTCAGAGCAAGACTTTCCAGGCCTGTTGGGACCAGGGCATCTGCCCTTGCTCCATCCAGGCCCTGGGGGCTCACCTCCTCCCAGAAGACCGGGTTGCACTCATAGCCGCCCACGGACAGGGCATCCCCCTGAAGGCGGAGGTAGACAGACGCGTCATGGTCCCGGACGTTGGGCATGTTCTGGAAGGCAGAGCACAGAGGCCTGGGTGCCGGGCAGGGCTGGGCTGGCCCGGCTCCTGTGTCCTGCACAAGGTGGACCATGGCGCCTCCTCCTTGTTCCGGGACCCCATATCTGGCTTGCATTTCCTGATGGTGCGTGTCTCCCTCTGCAGGGGTCTGAGTTTCACAGGAGGACTCCTGAGTGCCCCCTTCCCCAACCCCACGAAGACCAACAAGGTAGAGAAAAGGGGCAGAGAGGAGAGGGCACAGGCAGGAAGGCAGGAAGGCCAGGGCAGGGGCGGGTCTCAACCCCACCACGGGTGCCACTTCAGGGGCAGCTGTGCAGGGCTTCCACCTGGGCAGCAGGTGACAGCTGTGTCAGGAAAGGCACCGGAGCAAAGAGGAGTGAATGCATCCCTGCATGCAGATAGCACGCCCCAACACAGAACCCACAGCGGGAGGGAAGGCTTCCCAATCCCGCATGAAAGTCTGCAGGCCCAGGTCACACGAAGGACTCTCACGACTCGCTGAAACCGCAAGCAACCTCTAACAACAGGCAGGGATCTGAGAAGTTTCTCCAAAGAAGTGTGACAAATGGTCAGAATGCTGGCCATCAGGAAAACGCCCCTCAGTCCCCTCCAAGATGACTTTCCAACCTCCGGTGGCTGTAGTCAAACAGGCTGGGCCCAGCGAGGGAGAAGGACTTGGGGAACTGAGCCCTGCACACCGCCAAGCGCCGAGTCCCTTGGAGAGTCACCGGGGTTGGCCACGGACTCGGCAGTTCCACCCCTCTGGGCACACCCCAGGGAGGTGAAGACAGAACTGTGCGTGGATGCTCCCAGCAGCTCTGCCCATGGCACCCACAAGACTCAACTGTCCGTGAGTAGGTGGATGGATAAGACGTGGGGTGGTGGGGTGTGACGTCCTGGCGCAGCAGGAGGGCAGGTGGGGTGCAAGGAGCCAGGCACAAAGGTGCAGACTGCAGATCCCACCCACACCAAATGTCCACTCTAGGGAGACCCACAGAGGGCAGATAGTGCTGACCAGGGCCAGGGAGGGGTGGGAAGTGGGACAACTGATACCAGGATGGATGGGGGGAACCTATGTGTATCTGTGCATGCGCATGTGTATGTGTGTGAGAGAGACACAGCTACACAGAAAACTAAACCAGTGGGGAACTATTAATAACTCCAGAAACACAAAAAAAGTGGGCGCGTGTCTGCTCGGGAGTTAATATTTACCCAGCCGCGTTGCAAACCCTGCCTACTGCTTAACCACCCAACAAACAAAGCAGAACCAGACCTCAGAAGACCAGCAGGCATGGAAGAGGCGCTGCCCGGGGCTCCCCACCCCCGGAGCCGCTTCCCTGCGCCTCTCACCTCCTCACTGGAGAAGACACCTGGGACGTGGGAGCAGGAAGGGGGACATGCAGGCATCAAAGGGACAACCCGGCGGAATCCCTGCCTCCCACTGGCTCCCGGGACCTGCCATGCATGGTGGGAACAGCGGCATCTGCACTGAGTGGATGGTCTCTGGGTCATGGTGACTGAGCTCCGTTTAGCAATAGCCTACCCCAGAAACAGCCCGGCCCAGGCGCTCCATAGAGCAGGACAGTGGGGACACCTAGTGGCCAGGGAAGCGCGACCTCTGCTCCAGCAAGGTTGGTGTCCGGGTTTTCCTGCCCTTTGTGTCTCCTGCTGCTCTGAGCACCATGTGTCCTGCGCCTTCACCATCTCTCCACGCAGGAGCCACCCTGCCCTGACTGTCCCAGCATGGCCCTGGTCCCACTGATGCCTCCTGACCTCAGCTGCTACCCTCCATCTGCTTCAAACTCTGGGGGTCTTCCCCTGGCAAGCAGGCCTGATTTCCCCAACCTCGCCTGGGATCCCCAGGGCACAGCGGGCTGGATGGCTCCAGGCCCCTGGTCACTGTCCCCATAGCTACCCCACGAGCACCTGCATAGGCCAGGCACCTCGCTCAGCTCTGGGCCTTTGCTTCTGCCCCATGGGGCAGGTAAAGTCGGTGACAGCTGCTCTTGTCTGCAGAAGCAGGCAGGAGGACCCTGGGAATGTGAGACCAAGAGGAAAAGGACGGGGCCGTGGCCACACCAGGAAGTGGGCAGAGCTGCCGAGAGCCCATGACTGGGACTCCTCAGAGCCAGGGAGCCCCAAGCAGCACAGCCTCAGCCCTCAGGAAGATGGTGCCCACCTGAGCTGCAGGGGCTCCCCTCCCAGCCCGAAGGCCCCAGGCCCTCAGGCTGTGGGGTCGGGGGACAGTGACCTGAGCACCAGGCTGCCTGGCCGAGCAGCTGTGGGTGGAGAGGCAGGCAGCAGGCCCCAGCTTCAGGAGTCAGACCCAGCAGTGGGCAGACCAGGGCTGACGCCCGGCTCTTTCCCAGATTCAACCACCCCCACCTGCAGCCTCCAGAGGGCCAGCCTCCCAGAGCCCTCCAGTGGACCAAGAGGGGTGTGGGGGTCACCACCCACCACCCCAACCCCTCTGTCTCCTACCGAGTGGCAAGCCGCTGGGGCTTGTGGCCCTGTCCTTGTGCCCTGGCACCCAGAGGCACAGGGGGCCCTGATGGTTTTGTAAGTAACACCCCAGCTTGACTCTGACCTTGGAATTCATGTGGAGGGGGGCAGCCAACTGTGCCTGCCGCCTCCCAGGAAGAGGGACTCAGGCATTTGCAAGAATTAGGAATTAGGGACAGATGGCTGGTGCCCAGTCCTCGGCTAGGGGGACACCTGGTGAACACCCTCCCTGCAGCCCCATCCACAGGACACAGCCTCGGCCCCCCTCCCCATCCTCCTAGCCTCAGCCTGGCCCTCCTGGAGCCCACAGCGGCCTGATAGCAACGCTGGGGGCCACCTGAAAGGACAGGTGGGCCATTGAGCCCTCAGCTAACTCTGTCTCTCACCCGTCACCCAGCATGTGGCCCCCAGCTGCCCTCAGCAAGTTCTTGCGGGGCTTCAGGTGCATTCTGTGAATGGACACTGCGTGTCTGGGGAGGGGCTTGCCCAGGGCCGGGGAAGGAGCCACTGCACCCAGGTTCTGGCTCTCCCCAGCAATCACAGGGAAGCCAGGCTCCCGCAGGGTGGGGGCAGCCCCCAGGGACCAGCCTCTCAGCAGGGGGTTAGACGGCCAGGACCCTCCCTGCTGGGACCCGGCCTACACAGAACAGCCTGGCCTCTCGCACACACTCCCCACCCCACAGCCTGTGCCTGGGCTCTGTGAACTGCCCACCAGGCTCTGCGCTTGGCCCTGCTCCACCAACCTCAGGTCCTGGCAAAGACATGACCTCCTTTAGGAGCCCCAAGGAAGACCACCAGGGTTGACTAGGGACTGTCAGGCAGACCACGCCTCTGCCTCACTTGGTTGGCCCAAGGGCAGCCAATCAAGTATCCTTGGGCATGGCCCACTGGGACAGGCTCCGCCTTGCGCCAGGGCTGGGGTCCTGATGGCGGCCTGAGCCCACCCAGCAGAGCCCTCCTCAGCCTGTGGTGGAGCTGCTTGTGCACTGACTGACTGTGCGCTCCCCGCAGACCCCCTCCCCAGGCAAGGCCTTTCTCCAGGAAAGCCCTGGTTCCTGGAGTAGGGCCCAGGGCGAGGAGCTCCCCCAGGCCCTGCATATGGAGGGAGGGAGAGATGGAAGGACAGGTGGGTTAATAAATGGATGGACGGTGGAGGAGAGGGCGAAGGGGGAGATGGAGGGCAGAGGGAGGGAGGGGGATGGGTGGAGAGGTGGATGGAAGGGCCTAAGGACCAAGGGGTAGGCAGACGAATGTGAGGACAGCAGGTGACTGCATGGGCCGTTGGAGGAGGGAGGCATCAGGGAAGAGTGACTGGGTGGGAGGACAGCAGGGAGGACAGACAGAAGGGACTGGACAGATGAAGGGAGGGAGAAGGCCGAGGCCAAAGGGTGAGAAGTGGAGGGAATGGGCAGCAGGGGACCGGGGGGACGGATGCTCGGGTGAACTGTGGAGGACAAGAGGGTGCTCAGTGGCAAGGTGGCAGGAAGAGCCAGCCACCACCATGGGGGAGAGGGTGGGGAGGGACAGGAGCAGAGAGCAGGCAGGAGCACCTGGGCCCTGGCCTCCCTCTGCAGAGGGCTCTCGGAGAGGTTGAGCCCAGGACTCTGAGACGGCACGCGGGCATATTGGGAGCTCCTGGGCACGGAACATGGCAGAGCTAGCCTGGCGGCACCTCCCAGGACAGGCTGGACTGGGTCAGGCATCAGGGAGGAAGCAGGCCCTGAAGGCCGAGGGGGTCGACACCCTCAGGGTCACACCTGCTCTACTTCATTTAGCTCTGACACCACCCAATGACACCCAGTGCCACCATCCCCATTTCACAGACCAGGCCACCGAGGCTCAGGGCAGAGGGAGCCCCGCTGGGCTTCAGAGCTAAGTCCCACACCTGCCCACCTGCCCACCTGTCCACCCCTGCCTGGAGCACAGCCAGGGGCGGCCCACCTACCTGGATCCCTTCGATGCGCTCGGTGACAACGTAGGCATGGTGCATGGCCACCAGTGGGACCTTGACTCCAGCCATCCTGCCCACGGCGCTTGCCCACACTCCTGTGGGCAGAGCACATGCCCCTCAGCTCTGCTGGCACCCGGAGGGGGTGCCCCCCGAGAAGATGCAGCAAGGCTCTGCAGACTGTCTGCCCTGGCCAGGCTTCCCCCACCCAGACAGACGCCGGGCAGAGGCGGGGCCTGGCCAGGGCACAGCCAGCACTGCCACTCAGGGGTCAGCAGAAACATGATTCCCACCTGCGCAGTTGACCACACAGGGCGTCTGGATGGAGCCGTGCTGGGTCTCCACAGCCGCGACCCGCCGCACCCCAAAGTCATCTGTCCGCACACGGATGCCAGTCACTGGACAGTTCTCAATGACCTGGGATTGAGAGGAACTGATTATGAATCACTCGGGGAACCCTGAGGTGCTGACCCCCGCCCTGACCAGCCGCCTTTTGGTGGGACCTGGGGACACTGCTTCTGCTAGCGGCAGGCCTCATGTGGTCAGGGAAGTGGAATCCACAGTCCAGGAAACCGAGCCCGCCCACCCCTGACTTGGAGAACCTGTGGCAGACGGGGAGGTGGAGGGACCACCCTGAAGAAAGAGCTGTCCCCGGAGAGGCAGGTGGGCTACTGCCTGGTTAAGAAAAGGTCAGCGCTACCCCCCTTGCTTCAGGTGGGACGTGGTGTCCCCACAGAAGAAATATTGGGCACCACTGGGCGACTTCATTTCTTCCTTTTTACTTACTTGCCTTTTTGAATCTTTCTACATTTATGTGTGGGGTTGAGACAGATGAAGATAAAAATTATAAGAAGGAACGTTGAACGGATTTGCTTGAGCAGCAGGGCAGGATGCTGGGTAGGGGGTGAGCACTCCGGGCACAGCCCTTCCTGAGCGGGCAGGGTCTGAAGGCTCCGAGGGGTGGCACAGCAGGCAGAGGGGGAGCCTGGGGTTCTCAGGCAGAAGGGGTGGGCTCAGAGCCCGCAACTGTCAATACCTGTGCTCCTCGGGCAGCAGCCGCCCTGACAAGGGTGGTACAGGTGCCGGCGGGGTCCATGGTCCCATCCTGTGGCACGTACAGGGTCCCATAAAGGTCGTCCACATTCATTAGTGGGTACAGAGCCTTGGTCTCTGCCGGGCTCAGCACATGGGATTCCACGCCATAAGCCTTGCCCAGCTGGGGAGACACAGAGGAGAGAGAGGCTGTGTGGAGCAGTCCTGGGGTCCTCCCACACCCCTAGCTGGGCCTCCAGAAGCCACAGCAATCTCCACCCCTAGGGGCTGTCCCTTGGATCCACTCGGCACAGGGTGAGGGAGCAGGGTGTGGCTGCAGAGGCAGGCTCAGGGCCCAGCCCCTTCCCTCCACTCTGACCCTGGTCCCAGGGCAAGCTCCTCAGGTGCTCTCAGGAGTGCAGGGATGGCAGCTAGCAGTGGATGGGCACTTGGGCCAATAGCTGGTACAAAATAAATTAAAATTACCTCCACGGCCTCATATGTTGGGCCTATGGATTGGGTTTCCCAGGTCAGATGGTCCAAGAAAGACCAACCACTCCAGGAGAGACCATTGTGTTCCTTGGCTGAGGACTGGGAATTGTCAGGCCACGCCCCCACCACATTTGATTGATTTAAGGGCAGCCAATCAAGTGTCCCTGGGTGTGGCTAATATGAACAGGCTCCGCCCAACTAGGGATGAACTGAGCCAATCAGATCCTCCTATAGGGAATTAGGAGGAAGAGTGCGGGTGGCCCAGCCAGCAGGGGGCAGCGCCTGTCTGCCAACCCAATCTGTTGGGGTTCCTTCTTGCTCCATGATGCCCTCCCCATCACTCCAGGGAGCCCACCGCCTCTGTGCCCCTCAGAGGAGGTGCCCACCCACCTGGTCCCCTGCAGGGAACACGCTCCACCCACGAGAACCCTCTGCCTGACCCCCCACCAGGGCGCACCCACCGACATGAGCCTCTTGTACTCGTCCAAGCGCTGCCGATTGGAGGCGATGAAGAGGCCCCCGTTCTGGATCCAGCCGGTGTGCAGCCCGGTCTCCTCCTCCAGCTCCCGGCTGACCACCCGCCTCGTGTGGGCCAGAAGCTCCACCTCCACGTCGCTGGGCCGCAGCTGCCACAGAAGGCCTGGCAGGCGGGACTAGTCAGCAGCGACTCTGCACCCCTTTACCCAGGCAGGTAGAGGCGCAAGCCCCAGAGCCCAGAGAGGTTGGCAGGACTGACCTAGTCACAGTGGGAAGTTAGGCCGTTGGCCCTGGCGCAGCTCAGAGTGACAGTACTAAGGGCTCTCATTTGTCCAGCAACTACTGTGCACCAAGTCTGGTGCTGAACATGTTACAGAATGATCCCACAGACCCTCAGAGCAGCCTTCTCACGAGGGCACAATCACTTTACAGGTGGAAAAGGTGGCACCAAATAGGATGAGCTCAAGGTCCCAGAGCACATGAACAATGGGACCAGGACACTGGCTAGGACCACCAACCCCACCATGGTCTCCCCAAGGGAGCTGCACTCTTCAGCAGAAGAGCCTGGGAGATGGGAGGCCAGGGAGGCTGGGTGCTGAGCAGGCAGAGGGGCCACAGTGGCCCAGCTATAGGACAGGAAGGCAAGGCAGGGGCTGGGGGCCATGCTCGCCAGGGCTGCAGGCTCATATCGGCTCTAAAGGACCAGGCTGCCTCTTCCCAGCTCCAAGTTCACTGGCCAAGTTCACATTGGCAGCCTGATATTGGCCAAGATAGGAGTGGCAATGCTGCCTGTCAGGGGACCAGGTCACCAGCACACCACTGGTTAAAGAGGCTGAGACAGAAGGTTGGCTGTCCTGAGTACGTGCACACTGTAGGTGCTCAATATATGTTTCCACTGGTTAGTTAGGACAGTGCTCATGGAGGACACAGCTCTGCATCACCCCCAGCAAACACCACTCAACCGTGGTGGCTATCCGGGGACAGGGACAGCTGCCTGGGGCTTCCTACCTGGTCATCAGGGGCTGAATAGGGGACTGTGCTTCATCTGGAGCTGCAAAGGTGGCATCTGCCCCTTCTCCCCACCCCACTCTTCAGAGACTTGATTGGGGCAAGCAACGTCCCCACATCTGCACACCTTCAGACTGACCACACGTCTTTTCTTAGTCTTTCCCTCCAGCTCAGCTGCCCCTGACAGGCTTGTGGTTGTCAACCCAGACTGGCCTTGCTGTGTCCAGTGCCCCCTGCCCCCACCCGAGCCCTGGCTCCTACCTGCTGTGTGCCAGGTGGTCCCAGATGTCAGCCGCTCCCGTTCCAGCAGCACAGCCCCACTCACGCCCAGCTTGGCCAGGTGATACAGGGTCTGGCAGCCTAAGCTGCCCCCACCAATGACCACCACATCAGCTGTCCTGGGCAGGGGCTGGCTTGGTCCTCGGGCTGCTGTCGAGGGGCCCTGTGCCTCCTCCTTCAGGGTCCGCTGATACGGTACATTCTTCTCAGTTGTGGGACCGGCCACACTGGCTAGGGGCTGCAGACGCAGGCCCTGGGCAGGTCTCTTTCGAGGGCAGGTGGTGGCCACACGCAGGGCTCGGCTCAGTGAGGCCATGGGGACTCTGGGCTTCGACACCTCAGGAGCTGGGGAGAGAGTCAGGCTGTGGGGTGCAGAGAGTCCAGAGTGGGAACTGTGCCAAGTGCGTGCCCAGGTCCCTGGTGGCCCCAGGCCATTATTTCCCAGGACCTTCCTCCCGCTGCTTCCCATGTCACGGCTCATTCATCCAGCACGTCACAGAGCCTGATGGGCAGCAGGCTCGGGCTGGGCCCGGGGAGGCAGCTCTGGTGGGGAGGGCTGTAGGGACACAGGGAGGCAGAGAAACAGGACTGACCGCTGACAGGTGTCCAGAGAGGACCTGGGAAGTGGGGCTGTCCATAGAGGGAGGACAGGGAAGGGACCTGAGGACAGAGAACCAAGAGCTGGAAACAAGAAGGGGCCCTGGTCTCATGGGGACCCAGAGAGCATGACGGTAGGCTGGGGCAGGGCCTGTCCTCTGGGAATCCCCAGAGGGCAAGTGAAGAGGCCCCAAATGGCCAGGCCTGTGGGAGGGATGTGACACCTACACCCAGTGAAAGCCAGCCAGGGAGGTGGCGTCATGGGGGAAGCCGCGTAGACCATGGGCAGCAGGTCTGAGATGGGACACTGCCAAGCCCCCAGGGGACACCCACCAAGACCCCTGGGGGAACACTCATCATGCCCTTGAAGGGACACCCACCATGATCTCTCTGGGAGAACACCCTCTAAGCCCCCTGTGGGGACACCCATCATGCCCCTTGAGGGGACACCCACCAAGCCCCCTGGGAGGACACCCAACATGCCCCCTGGGGGAACATCTACCTGCCCCTTGATGGGACACTCACCAAGCTCCCTAAGGGAACACCCATTTGACCCCTTGAGGGACATCCCCGCCACATCCCCTGGAGGGACACCCACCATGCCCCTGTGGGGACACCCATCATGTCTCCTGTGGGGACACCCGCCATGCCCCCTGGGGGGACACCCATCATGTCTCCTGTGGGGACACCCGCCATGCCCCCTGGGGGTCACCTACAAGCCCCCAGGGCCATCCGGCTCAGCCCCAGACAGTTATTCCTCCTCTGCCCCCTCCCTCAGAGCCATCTGGGCTTCCTGGGCAGGAGGCTCCTGCCCCTCGTGTCCCCCAGTGGACTTCAGCGCTCATCCTGAATCGCCCCTCCTCAGGAAGCCCCCAGACCTCGCCAGCCAGGGAAACCAGCCAGGTCACAGGGAGCCCCTTCTAAGGCGAGAGGGTGCCCAGGGGTCTCTCCCTGGGGTGGGTCCTGCCCAACACAGGGCGGGGGACACCTCACAGGGCTTCTGGTGCCCTCTCCTGGGGTCAGGGCTTTGGGCTGTGACTGAGGTGCTAAGGGGTCGGTGCCACCCATATTATCTCCATGACTCAGTCCATCAGCTGGCTCAGGGTCAGGGCCTGCACTGGGCACGCTCCTCTGCCCTCACTGAACACTCCAGAATGTTCTGAGGCCCAGAGGACATAGCTCCACCTCACAGGGGAGAAGGCTGAGACCAGAGGGCTCCCGGAGAACTCCCAGGGCCTCGCAGCTGTGCTGGGGCACAGGCCGGCCAGCCTGGGCCGACCCTGCACTCACTGCCCCCACCCCATGGTGTGACAGCCCCTGCGTGGCCCCTGCAGGCACGTCCCTGTGTGTATACACACCTTTAGTCCTTGAAGATCCCTGGTCTTCCGGAAACCTCAGGAGCAGTGCCTGGGGGGGAAGTGGACACGATGAGGCCCAGGAGGGCTCCGCAGGCAGCACTGTCCCCAGGTAGCATTGTCCCCAGGTGGCACTGTCCCCAGCAGCCCATGTCCAGCACACCTGGAGGAGGAGCCTCTGTTCTCCCTCACACTGCCAGTGCCAAAGCTGCCGGCCCTGGCCGGGAAGCTGCCACGTGCCGCTCCGCCTCCTGCCCAGCCAGTCCAGGCTGTCCCCAGGCAGGACTGGGGACTGGGGCAGCTGTCTGCCTCTTGCCTGCCCCCTGCAAGCAGCTGCCTCAACAGTAACTCGCTGTCCTGCCCGCTCTGGGGAGGGAGCTCGGGACGGCCCTGGCTGGGGGTCAGGGGGTGGGTATAGGCTTAGCCACAGGACCGAGGCCTTGGCCCGCAACCCAGCCTCACTGTAAGCAGGAGCCCAGAGGTGCCCCCCCGCAGGCGACAGGAGGATGATGGGGTATTGCTGCCCACACAGTGACCGGGTCCTGCCCACCCACCCCTTGGTCCCCACAGCGGGAGGCAGAGGGACGGCCGGCCCTGCCCCTCCCTGACAATACCTCTGCTGCCTCCCTGACCAGTGGCGGAGCCAGCACCTCCTTCCTCTCCAAGCAGCAGTCTGGCGGAACTGGCCACCCCCACTCCCCCTTGCCCGCCCAGTGTCCCGCCCACGACCAGCTAGGACGGACCGCCCACAAGGCTCCCCAGTGCCGAGGGGCAGATCTGCTGGCCTGTGGCAGAGCAGGCTGTGAACCCCGAGCCACCACAGTGGGTGGCCTGCCAGGTGACCTCAACTCTCACTTCATCTCCAACACAGGGTCCCGGCTACTGTGGTGATCCCAGGCACCCCTGCCTGCCCCGGCCTGCCCCGGCCTGCCCTGGCCCACGCCCCCGCCCCCGAAGGAACCCTGCGCAGGCCAGCGGGCAGGAAGAGCTGGGCGGCTGTCCAGGCCCTCCAGCAGGGGCTCCCTGGCAGGGGCTCCCTGGAGGTGCCTGTGTTCCAGCCTCGGCTTGCTCACCCAAGGTGGGTCCCCTGAGGGTCCCCTGCACGGGGTGGGGTGTGGGTGCTTCCACAGGTGCAGCCCCAGGGCAGTGCTGAGCAGAGACTCTCCTGCACTCTAAGACCAGCAGGGGTGATGGTTGCAACCTGGACCTTGGACGAGGGGTGGTGGCTGGGGGTGGCCTGGCTGAGGGTCAGCCTTGTAGGACTTTCATCGACCCAGGCCAGTTAGCACTCTGTTCGGGTCAGAGACAGGGGAAGGAACACCCTTCCTGGGTGCCGGAGCACAGCTCAGGAGGCGGTCAGGCTCTGTCCAGGGACCAGGACAGGGCCCTGTTGCCAACCTGAATGGCCTTGGCTTGTTCTCATGACCGTTGCAGACTCAGTTTCCCCACTGAGACGCTGGACTGGACCCGGCTAGGTCTGTTCAGGGCCGGTCTGAGTTCCCAGTCTCCGTCAGAGCACCAGGAACAGAGCCACAGTGGGCTGGGAATCCTGGTGGACACTGCTCTGGGGCCAGGGCTGCCCGACCCACGACCCTCCCAGACCCACCAATCCCAATGAGAACAGTGGGGACTTGCCCGTCTGTCCTCCTGGCCCACCTGGCCTTCTCCACAGCCCTCCCCACCTGCCAGTATGTCGGGGGTGTCCACCAGCTGCCCACTGTTGGGCAGAAGCCGAGGAGGGATGGGAGAGGCTCTGCGTGGGGACCTAACAACAGGAGGGCCATGCCCACACCACCTCTGACCCACCGAGAGGACGGAGTGCCCTGCCCAGCCTGGGAGCCTGGCCCCGTCACCTCCACGCAGTGTTGGCATGGCGGCTGACTGAGTGGGCAGTGTGCTGACCACTGTCCCCACACCGTGTATACGTCCTCGCTGATGGATAGGAATGACCGCTTCCCCTGTGGAGATGAGCAGACTGAGGTGAACAGCCCCCGGCTCGGGTCCCCCACTCATGCCTAGACATCTCCAGATAGTTTTTGAGGGCTGAGTTTATCCCATCGAGATTTTATTTTTCTATGAAGGACCTTTAACTTTTTAAAAGACCTCCCACCAGATGTCCTTGTGATTCACGAAGATGGAATGTTGACAGCCCTGACAAAAAGAGGGAGGCATCCCAGGGGAGTCCAGGTCCTTTCGGAGCAAAGAGGCCCCCCACCTGTGACCCCAGGGCAGGCGTGACCAGCCAGGCACCAAGCCGCGGGACAAACGTGGCAGGTAGGATGGCCGCCCCCACGCTGGCCCTGATGGGCAGGTACCCTGCTTGCCTTGGGCATCTTCCGGGCCTTGTGTCTGCAGCCATGGACACTGACGCTGTCCCACAGGAGGACAGAGCACAAGGCCCTGGGGGACTTCCTGCCCATGGTGGGCATCTCAGGGCTGTGCCCAGGCCCGGGGGCAGGTCCTCTTCCTGTACGGTGTTTGGAGGGAAGGGAGGACAAGCAGTGGCCCAGGCAGACCCTGGCTCAGCCCTGTTCTAGGACCCGTGAGCACCACCCAGCCCCTCTGGGGCTCTCTTGCCAGCCGCCCAGGGGAGATGCCCGAGGAGGGTCCCAAGCTGCCCTTGGCCCTTTGCCTCTCCCACCCGTTGCCCTGGAGACCTCCCCTGAGCACCCAGACTCCCAAGCTCTGTTGAAAGTGAGGACATAGGGATCGCTCTGGGACACCTGGTCCCTTTGGCCATGGTCCCACCCGTCTCTTTGCCCACTGGCCTCTAAGTGCTTAGCCATTCCAGCCAGGGTCTGGGAATTCCTGACGCTGCCCTGCCAATCCCACCCACAGGCCACTGCGAACCTCCGAAGGACACCCTAGGGTGGCGAATCAGCGGGGAAGGGGGGGGGTCTCAGGAGGAACAGATAGTGGAGGAGTCACAGTGTGTTGAGGTCCCAGAGCTGGAATGGCCTCCTGGGGGGCCAGGGTGAGAACAGTAGCACCCAGGCTGGGTGGGGGCCTGAGGAGGCTGAGCCATGGCAGGAGACACTGGCCATGTGTGGGTACTACTTCCTTGCAGGACCCTGGACCAGGAGGGGACCCAGGGACACTCAGGCCAGACCTCCCACTGAAGTGACAGCCCGGGCTCTCAGACCCGTTCCCAGACCACACTCCAGGGCGGCCACAGCCTCAAGGAACACAGTAAGCTTGTCAAAGAGACACAGAAAAAGGATTGCAGGCGTGCCGGTGAGCAGGCGGCTGGCGAGTGGACGTGAGTGTGAGGGTGTGAGGGCGTGCAGGTGGCTGGTGAGCGGAGGTGCGTGTGTGGGCATGCCCGTGTGCGGGTGTGCCCGTGTGCGGAGGTGCGTGTGCGGGTGTGCAGGAGTGCAGGTAGGAACCCAGGCTCAGGAGGAAGGCCATGAGCTTCCCTCGGCCAAGAAGTGTCGGCCCAAGAGCCACTGTGTGAGGTGAAGCAGCAGCGGTCCTCTGAGTGGCCTTCTCTCTGTGTCGTTGAAGTCTGGCAGAGTAAGGTGCAGCTGCCTGTGTGGACCAGGAGGGTATCCCTCCAGGGTAGTTTTTGCACTAAGGCCGCCGGACCCTGAAGTTTTAGGGCACTGTTCCATGCCTTCCTCATGGGAACTGAGGCTGTCAATCCCAAGACGCACCGGGAGGAGGACGAACCCTCTCTCGGCCAGGCAGCCCCCGAGGCCGGGTGGTCTTGGCCAGGGCTGCTGCTCACCACCCTCCCCATCCAGGCTTCCTTCTGTGGTACCAAGGCCCAGAACCAGCCCCCACGCCCCAGCCTCCCCTACAGCCAGCATGGCCACATGACCAAGCTGTCGTGGGTGGGAGTGCTGAGCAAACCTCCAGAGGTGTCCAGGAGCCGGAGCGTCCCTCTTCCCACCCCTTCTCCTTTCTGCTGGCTGGAAGGTGACATCAGAGCCTGCAGCGGAAGCCCCATCTCAGACCATAGCGTGCACCAAGGAGGTTGTACAGGACACCGAGGAGCACGGTCCTATGCCTGGGTCACTAGAGCGTTTGGGGAGTAAGAAGTAACCGTCTTGTTTGATGGGCTGTCCATTCCCCTCCAGCTGGCCAACGGTCACCCCAACCTGCCCAGCCTTGCCTTCATATGGACATGCAGAGAATTGAGGCTGGGGGTCTCTCATCACATCCATCTGCCTCAGGACCAAGGGCTTGGATGCAGGTGGGGGGTAATTATTCAGAGGGGACCCAGGGGAAAAAAGAGCCTCCGCAGCTCCTGGATACTCGAGAGAGTTCGGTTCTTCCAGAAGCAGTAAAATCATTAAGGAGAATAAATGTTCCAAGTTGAGACTGAAGGAGAGGGGTCTGGGTTTGACCGGGATGCTGTAAAATCTTGTCACGAGAGGGAGAGCAGACTTGTTAGCTGCCTGACCACCACTGCCCCCCGCAGAACCAGTCGCCAGGGGACAGAGCTACCAGGAAGAGCGTCATTTCAAAGCCCCATAATTTGTGCACATTTAATACATCTGTAAACTTTCTAATTGGAAAAATTACATTGTAAATGGCTGGTCTGTAAATGCTCAGGGGAGATGCACCCTGGTGTTTGGAGGGATGACCAGGCCCACAAGGGAAGCACACACCCCATGCCTCTCCTATGCAGCTCCAGCCGCAAGGCCGCCCAGGGCCTGCCCCGTGGGCCCAGCAGGACTCCACGTCTCGATGTGAAGCTTTTCTATCATTTCAACATATTTAAAACTTAGAAATAAATTTGAGAATTTTACAATTACATTATAACTTCCTTTTGGATTATTCATCATTTGGAAGCGTGTTTTTTCATTTGCAAACATGCAGAGATTTCTTGTGTGATTTTTGCTATTGGTTCCTGACTCAGGAACCGTGAGAAAAGCCAGTTGATAGACGGGGAATTCACTGACACCTGTCTTACGGCCCAGCAGAAGGTGCCAGGTTCCTACAGAGGGCGGGGTCCTCCTAGACAGTCTTCACTAGTTCTCTCACATCCTCCCTGACTACTTTGCCATTTCGTTGAGGCGTAATTGACGATGGCACAGTGTGTTTACAGCATGCGACAAGAAAGGCGTGGTGAGACCATCAGCCCAGCAGGGCCCCTCACACACCCCTCACCTCCCGTAGCTATGTATTCCCTTGGGGTGAGGACATGTAAGAGTACTGCCCCACCAGCCACTACTCATCCACTTTCTGCTTGTCTGAGTTGTTCTAGATCCACCAAAAGTGAGACCACGCAGCATTTGTCTTATTTCACTTGACCGTGTCTCCAGGTTCATCCACGTTGTACAAATGACAGGCTTTCCTTCTGTTAAGGAGGACTGACTCCATGTCTTGGCCCTTGGGAACAATCTCACCATGGACCTGAGCACACAGAGATCTCTCTGACACACTGATGCATTTCCTTTGGATAGGTACCCAGTTCTGGGATTTCGCTGACTTGAACTATATACATTTAATCCGTTGGGATTATCTTGACTTTGGAGATCCGGATATTCATTTCCCACTCCAGAGTTGGGACATTATCTGCCATTATTGCTTTAAAAGAGGTCTTGTTTTTTGTGGACTCCTGGATTCCCAGAATGCACATACTGGTTTGCGGGAGGGTGCCACATACATCCTGAAGGCTTTCTTTCATGTTCTTTCTTTTTGTTCCTCTGACCAGGAAACTTAGACAACCTGCATTTGTCAACCTGTTTCAAGCTTGCTGGTAAGTCTGCTGTTGAAGCTCTCTTTAGCTTTTCATTTCAGTCATCGTGTTCTTCAGCTCCAGGATGTTGTGTTCCTTTTTTATGGTTTTTATCTTTGTTGGATCCTCCCTCTACTTGTGCACCCCTTTCCTATTTATTACCTGTGTCCCTGGTAGGTCACCAAACTTCTTCAAGATGATTATTTTGAGTTCTTTGTCAGGAAGTTCAAAGATCTCCATTGCCTTAGGGCCAGTCACTGGTGCCTAGTTGTATCATGCCTCCCTGATCCTTCCCACCCTGTTGCCTTGAGTTTGGGTCTGAGCATTTGAAGACACAGGAACTGTTAGGTGCAGGACAGGCTGAGTAAGCTGTCTGCAGGGCATGCCAAACAAAGTTAGCTGCAGGATGACCTGCCCTCTGAAACCCTCTGTCTGGTTCTTTATCAACTATTTGCTTCAAGCCCAAACGCCCAAGCCCCCGCTCAAGGCTGAACACTCAACCCCCTGCTCAAGGCCAAACACGTAACCCCCCTTGTGTCAACAAGGCAGCTTGCAGACCCAGAGACCTCATTAGATTTGGGCTATAAAAACTCCCTTCTGCCGGGCCCCTCTCTCTTGCTTTCTCTGTCTCTCTCTTGCGTGCGCTTCCTCTCTGTCTCTCTCTTGCGTGTGCTCTCTCTCTCTCTCTCTCTCTCTCTCTCTCTCTCTCTCTCTCTCTCTCTCTCTCTCTCTCTTTTCTCCTCTGTTGCACTGCTGCAATAAAGATCTTTTGGTTGCTCTGAGTGTTGTGGTCACTTTCCTTTCAGGAACCTCTATGGTCTTTGCTCCCTGGCTTCTGCAAGGAAATCCATGCACCAGTCCACTTATCAGAGGGATTCTGGGCAGGCCAGCTGGCGGATCCATGGACAGGCACACTGCTTGGAGTCCTGAGGTCACTGGGTGGGTGGACCTGGAGGCTGGGTCCTCTGGGGTGGACCTGGAGATTCGTTCCACTGGAGTAGGCCTGTTGACTGGGTCTGCAGTGGGGAGCGGTACCTGGAAACTGTCTGTGGGGCTGGCCTGATTCCTAGGTCCATGGATCCAAACTTTCCCTGGGGTGAGCTTTGAGCCTGAGTCCACAGGGCATGGCCTGGCACTGGGTGGGCCTTGGGCTTGGTTCCACAGGCATGAGCCTGGTCCTGAGTCCACAGGGGCCACCCTGATGCCAGGGTTCACTCAGGTAGGCCTGGGGTCAGAGAAGCTAAATTAGTGGAGGTCAGCCTGGTACTGGGGCTGCAAGAGCCGGCCTGGCAGGGATGACCTGGTGTCTGAGTCTCCTGGGTCCTGAGTCTACATGGGCCAGCCTGGATCCTGGGCCTTGACCCTGGATCCACTATGGGGATTCTTAATGTCGACTGCTGCACAGCACTAGAGAACTAATGGTCATCAGCCAATATCCTTCCCCACTTCCAACCAACCAAGGGTTCAGTGGCCCGAGCACACCGTGTTGTGCATCACACCCCCACCGAGTTCGTGATACTGTTGGCACATGCCTGGATGTACCTGAGTTGCACCAGGTAAAGCCCATTCAACATCCACTGTCAGCGTTGGCTCTGACCCCCCCCCCCCACGTTGGCCTAACCAGTCAGCACAACTGCACTTCCCTCAGGTAGATAGTCTGTTGAGCTGAACTTTCCATTTCTTGCTCGTTTGTCTAAAAAGCCTTTATATTGCCTTTGTTTTTGAAAATCATTCTTTCCTCCGTGTAAACTTCTGGGTTGACACTTGGAGGATGCAGTCCTGTTGTCTTCCAGAGGCCATGGCTGCAGCGGAGCGTCCCTGTGGACTGGTTTCAGTCGGGGTGACCTTTTGCTCTCTGGCTGCTCTCAGAACTGTCTTCAGTGCCCTGCGGCTTCACTAGGACGGCTCAGGATCTGCATTTCTATTTGCCCTTCCTGGCATTCTTGAATCTCTGCACTCTGCACTCCGTCACTCTTCCTGGAGGACAGCCAGCCAGTGTCCTTGGATTCCAGCTCTTCCACTCTGCCTCCGCCTGGAGTCTGTGGGAGCTCCAAGCCCTCCTCCTCGCACCCCCTTGATCTCTGCAGAGTCAGGGGTTTCATCAGTACCATTTTCCAGTTCAGTAATTTGGTTGGGGAGGGGGAGTACTGGGGATGGAACCCAGGGGTGCTTCACCACTGAGCCACATCCCCAGCCCTTTTTGAGACAGGCTCTTGCTAAGTTGCTGATGGTCTCACTGAATTGCTGAGACTGTCCTCAAACTTGCAATCCTCCTGCCTCAGCCTCCCAAGCCACTGAGTTACAGGCGTGCATTACCATGCCGGCCAGGTCAATAAATCTTTCTTTGGTTGTTTCTAACCTGAGATTAAGCCCGTACACTGAGATGTAAACGTCCGTGGTGTAGAAGAGCTGTCTGGGAAGGAAAATGGCCCTGAGAGTTCACTGTGAGTGGCCTGGACAGAGGCTGGCTGGGGCGGGGAGGGCTGTCAGCGGCACAGAACAGCCGGAGGCATGCCTGCAGCCTCACCTGGGTGATCTGGGTGGGACGAAGCTGCTCACTTGCATCCTGGAAACTGTAGGTGTCCCCTGATTTCCTCCAGTGTGTCATGTCACTAGGCAATGCTGAAGGCCAGCTTGCTGCTTCTGCTCCCAAGCAGCTCTGTGCCTGGACGCCTGTGGGTCCCCTCTACCTCCACACCCCAGGGCTGACCACGGGGCGTGAACTGACCCTGGGCCTCTCGTCGTTTACTTCTGGAAACTTGAAAGTGCTCCTTGAAGGTTTGTCCTGCCTGTGACTTTGGGTTTCTTCTCCAGACACATTAACTACTGCTCGGCAAGGTGGGAGCTCCCTGAGCAGGGCAACCCCGGCCCCTGGCCCCTGGCCTCTGCAGTCCTGGCCCTGATGCCCAGGGAGTTGGACGCCCAGGCCCAGCCCCAGGGCCCAGCCCCCACAGCCACCCTGGACTCAGCCCCAGGGCCTTTCTACCCATTCTGCCAGCATCACCATGCACGTTGTGTACCTCTGTGATGTGTGGAGTCCTAGTCGGGGACAGTGGTAGAGGGGCCCCCACGCCAGCTGGGCCTGGCTGCGCCTGGGCAGTCCTGCTCGGTGTCGAGGCCTGGGTGAGGCAGCCAAGTGACGGGTAAATGACAGAGTGACAAGCACACAGCTGGTACCTTTCCAACAGTTAATAAAGGAGAAGCCCAGAGTGGGCTGGGTGGGAACTACTCGCTCCCACACGAATAGATGTCCACCCTCCAGAGCGTCAGGGCGGGGGCGAGCGCGAGGGCGCGGGGACACAGGGGAAACCAGAGCCTCCTCAGGCCACCCTGCCCCTGCGTGAGGCTGGGTTTCTGCACCATACCAGTCGATTCAAGAGTGACTCTTGGTGGCCACAGGCGCCCACCATAGCTGGCCTGGGAGGGCAGGTGCTGGCAGCAAGGAAGAAGGGCCACTGTGAACAGTGGCTGGAGCGGCCCCGCCCTCCTGCCCGCTGCCCCGTCCTTGGGCTGAGCCCCTACAACCCAGGCTTCAGCCCAGCCCCCGAGCTGCTGGTGGTCTCGCCATCAGTCCCAGGCGAGGCTGCTGACCGCCCACCTGGGGCCACAAGCTCATCCCTGGCCCAGCTGAGGAGGCCAGGGTGTCCTTCATGGGTACAGGGAGCAGGAAGGTGCGGGCTGCTCACGGGCAGGCGAAACCCAGAGGAGTCCTCTTGGGGAAGGCCTCAGAGGGGCGTTCAGGTTCTGCCTGTGGGGAGGACACTCTGTTCCAGTGAGGGGCCAGCAGGGGCCGCTGGAGCCTGGACGTGTGACACGAGGGCGTGTGCACTGCGAGGTGTGAACAGGCTGAACTGTGCACACCACAGTCCGTGTGTGGAAGCCCCACTCCCAGCACACCTCAGGTGCAAGTCCTCAAGGAGGGGCAGTTAAGGAGGCCGAGGCTAGACTCCAACAAGACTGGGTTCTCCTGGGGAGGGACGCAGCAAGGAGACGCCAGCGAGGACACGGCGAGAGGGAGCCCTCTGCCAGACCCACGCACCCTGACCTTGGACTTGGGCCTCCAGAACCCAGAGGAACGAGGCTTCCTGCTGAGGCTGGAGCCTGGAGCGGCCACCGCAGCCCAGCCGACCAAGACGTTGCACAGAGGCAATGTACAGGGGGCCACTGGGAGACTGGACCCGCCTCTGAACCCGTGGTTAGGGAGGGACAGCTGCTCAGGCTGGGGTTCCTGTGACCCAGGGAACAGGCTGGACGGGCCAAGGGAAGACCCTCCCCTGGTTTGCAACAAGAACTGACACCTGCTGAGCCCCCGGGCTCACTCAGTGACCATGAGCTAGGCCACAGCAAGGGCTGCTGGGTGCCCACCCTCTGGCCTCGCTGCCATCTCCTTAGTAACAGGACCCCATGTTCAAGCTGGGTGCTCAGCTTGGACTCTGCGTTTTCCAGTCACACCAGAGCCAGGAGTGACCCTGTCATCAGGCACCGGCTACAGAGCCATAGAGACCTCTGCTTCCTCCCAGAGCCCCACCTGCAGGAGCTCCAGCAGCCATGATGGACCACGAGGCCACTGTGAGGAGGGAAACGTGGGCTGAGGATGGGAGACCCGGGGTGGGGGTGGGGGTGGGAGGAGCCTGGGCTCCTGATGGCAGGGGAGGTGCGAAGTCTGGTTGCCTGGGTTTCTGTCACAGCCCACAGGACTCGCCTGGGTGAGGGAGCACTACTTTCACTCCAGAAAAAAGCAAGGCCGGGAGGTAAGGAGCAGGCCGGAGGTCTGAATCCCATCCTCACGTGCATGAGGCCACCTGGTGGGCTCCACAGGACACTGCACCAGCTGGAGAGGTGCTGGCGGGCCCCCAGGTTCAGGCCAGGCAGACCCTGCTGGACTGGGGAGGAAGCCGGCCACTCCCTCCTCCCCCAGGCACAAAAGGCTAAAAACCACTGCAGAAAAGAACTTAGGTTTATTTGCAGTAAGAACCGTGGTCTGAAAAACCCAGTGGCAAATGTACAGTTTGTGTTCCCTTTGGGGTCTCGTGGCCGAGGGACCCCAGATCCCTGACTCATGTGTCAGGCTCCAGTGTTCACAGCTGGCCTCAGGCCTGGTCCCCAGCCACTCCAGAGGCGTCCGCCGCCGGGACTGCCGGGCCTCCAGCCACCCTCCCTGGTACAGCGCAGACCAAACCAAACAGATGCCAACATTCACAGAAACCAGGGCTCCAGGTCATCTGTTCTCTGTCCTTCGTTTTCAGGATGACCTGTTCGGCGACCAACTAAAATATACATCATTTTCTTGCTACTATAAAATCTCTTCCTTATTCACAGATACTAATAGGAGATTTGGATGAAATAATTATAAACTTTGTTCCCCTTAAAAAACAAACAGGCCAAACATAACACAACAAAAACCCCAAACCAGACCACAAGAACGGACAACGGTAAACACAGAGGGGCTGGGGTCTCCCTGCCATCCGGGCTGGCTGCGACAGGTCTGCGCCAAGTGCTGGGTGGCCCCGCTGCACCGGGGCTCAAGTGCGCCAAGGCCACCTCCCCGCCCAGGCCCTGCGTACCCCCCTCTCAGACCTTCCCCGCGGAATTCCTTCCTGCTGCTCCCGTCTTCCTGACCCTCCAGGAGGCTGGGTAGGTGCACTGAGCCTGGGGTGACCTCAGCTGGCTCCCCCAGGAAGGCCCAGCCCCCAGTGGACGGCCTCCCGCACCCCCCCACTCATGCTCTGCAGCTGACCTAGGGCAGAAGGGGCAGCAGGAAGCCCAGGTCTCACCAGAAGCTTTGGTGGGATCTGGGAGGGGCCAGGGTCGTGGGTCTCACAAATGTCAGGGTAGAGAAACCAGGTCTGGCCGGCCAGCCAGAGGTCAAAGGCCAGGAGACACCAAAAGGAGGGAGGAGGGAGAGCCACCCCAAGAGCACTTATTCAGGCTGGCCACAGGCCCAGGAGGGCTGCAGGAGCCCCTGGAGGCAGACCCACCAAAGGCCAGGCCGACGTCTGTGCAAAGGCTGGTGGACCCGGGGCCACGGTGCAGGGTGCAGGAGGCCCAGTGGGTCCCTCTGGAGAGGAAGGTGGGCAGCAGGGGCCCAGGGAGGGGCATCATTCTCTCCCTCCCTTTGGGGTTTACGGAAGACGAGGGCCTGGCAGCAGGGCAGGGCAGGGCAGCCCTGGACCCCGGGACCCAGGAAAGGCTCTCGGGAGGAAAAGAGCAGTACCATTGACTCGGGGTGGGGACAGCAATGTCATCATTCCTAAGCCCCCCAAGAGAGGGCCCTGACAGTAGGGTCTCGGTGAGGAAGTCGGGGACGGTCCTAGGAGCCCTGTGACAGGGTCACACGTGTGCTTTCCCCCGTACCCCAGCCCAGCCCAGCTGAGCAAGGCCACAGCAAGCAGCCCGGCCCTGGGCCTCCTCCTCCACAGCCTGAGGCCCCGACAGCAGCAGAGAAGCAGGAGGGCCAGCCCAGGGGCTGAGCACCAGACCAGTGGGTCCCTCCGCTGTCCCCAGCACCCCCAGGACACCGTCTGCTATTTGATCCTAAGCTCCTGAACACATCTCGGCCAGAAGGCACAGGGCACCCTTCCGGACTCAGCTGTCACCAGAGCCAGGCTTGTGATGCCACGCACCCCTCCCCCAGAGTCTGGGTGGGGCTCACCCCGGTTTCCTCTATGTACAAGGAGCAGACCCAGGGACGGGTGCCCAGGGACAGGGGTGGCGGAACGGCCTGACGTTAGGGTTCTGAACACCCTCCCCACCCCATGGGCTGCCGGCGACTGGAAGGCTGGAGGTGTTCCCCCGGGAGCCGCCGAGGGGCCGAGATGGACTGCAGGCCGGGGGCTCTCCATGAGCATCCGGGGTCCTGTCCACGCTCTCCTCCTCACTGGACACCCTCCTCTTCCACGTATGTCGAAGGGAACCAGCCGATCTGAAAGAGACACGGGGAGGAGGGTGCTGCAGAGCCAGCTTCTCAGCCTGGACCACGCAGAGGGGCCTGGCAGAGAGGCCGAGGGCCGGGGGCCCCAAAGAGCTGTTATGGGCCGGGCTACGTGGACAATGACCAGACTCCACTTCACCCTGAGACTCCATGTCATGTAAGAAATGCTTCTCCCACGGGAAAGCCCGGCCTCTGTACCCATCTGTAGTTACCTAGCAGAGCACACGTGGCACCACAAAATGGCCATTCTTATGCATGTAACGTCGTACCCTGTCAGAGACTGTCGAGACGTTAGTGACCACTCTAATTGTACTCGACCTGGAGAGTCCCGAGGGAGACACGGGTGTACCCACGGCACTGTCTCGCTCACTGCTGCTCCTGTGCCCTCTTGCCCTCAGCTCCGTCAGCCCAGGTGGGGTTTTGTCTTTAAATACACTAAAAGGGGGAGGTTCCAGGCTGTTTTCTGCAGGGACAACTCGGTCCTGAGGAGCAGCCCCAGCCGGGCACAATAAAGACTCTTCCTTTTGGACCAAACTGGGAGTTGGTGTTTCTGAGCGGCCTGCCCCACAACAGAGCAACTGGAAACCCACCGGCCCTAATTGGCTTCAGAGGGTCCGCAGGCAGAAAAGAATCAGACCCGAGGAAAACACGTTGTCCCGACCTGAATGTGGCTGTCCCTCGATGTCCCTGGTTACTGGTTCCAGGACCCCTCAGACAGGAAAACCTGCAGCCCCTCAAGTCTCATATGAAATGGGGTGTCCACGCCCATCACCTACCGCAGCCCCCCATGCACTAAACCACCTGGGGATGTACTCTAATTCCTAGTACTGGGCAGGTGCTGCGTAGACGGCTGTTAGAATGCACTGCTAGAGCCAAAGGACAAAAAAGTTAGGTCCCTACGAGCTCAACAGAGATGCAAGTTTAAAAATACACCTCTCAGGCTGGGACTGTGGCTCATCAGTAGAGCACCCACCTAGCATGAGCGAGGCCCTGGGTTCCATCCTCAGCACCACATAGAAATAAATAAAGGTATTACGTCCAGCTACAACTAAAAAATAAATATTTTTTAAAAATATGCACCTCTCTGATTCACGGTTGGCTGACCCCATGGATGTAGACCCCTGCACAAGGGCCAACTGAATCACCCTGAAAATCACGGGCCTACGGAGGGAGGTGACTTCACAACAGAGGAGCGTGGCAGGTACACCCTAACGGAGCAAGCAATCGTGTCACAAGTCACAAGGGAAACGTCACCATGTGCTACGGCACCTAACCCTAAGAGCGGCACCCTCCCTGTGGTATCCACACCCAAACCTTGAAGAAACGTCATGCAAACCTAGACTGTAGGGTATTCTGCAAAAATAACTGGCCCAAATTCTTCAAAAAGTGTCCAAGTCCTATAAGGAAAGAGAGGCTGAGGAATGTTCCAGATTAAAGTTATGGGTCCTGACAAGTAATGCCATCCAGAACCTGGGAGTGGATCCAGGACCAAGAACCAAGAACTGGAAGAGACGTCACTGGGACAACAGTCACATTTGAAAATGGACTGCAGGTTAGATCGCTGTGTTACATCCAAGGGGGGCGTGCCTGGCCTTAGGGAATAGGGGTCAAGGAAGGTCATTTCTGCAGTTCACTCTAAACAAAAAAGGACACAGACTTAGGGTACACCTGAACCTGAGTCTGGAGGATAATGAACAATACAGGTGGTGGGTTCCTCACGTGGCCTCTGGAGCAGGGAAAATGCTCAACCCAGGGGCTCTCAGCAGTCGAGATGCTGCTGTGACCTCAGGGAGCCCATGACTGACAAACGGAGAAAAATGCTGGTTAATCCAGAAGCCGTCAAGAAAGAAGAGGGTTGGACTGAACTCAATGGGGGAGCGCTTGCCTCTCCCGTAAGAGGCACGAGGTGCGATCCTCAGCACCACATAAAAATAAATAAAATAAAGAAGGAGAAGAGAGGGAGGAGGAAGGGGAGGAGCAGGAGGAGGAGGAGGAGGAGGAAGAGATGGAGCAGGCAGGTGACTGGTTTATACCCAAACACCCCAGTAATCGCATTAAACGTAAACGGATCACTGTGTGGATTAAAAAGACTGTCAGACCAGACTGGCTTTTAATAGGTCCCCAATGCTTACGAGAAACCTATCTCACATATAAAGAGGAGAAAAGTCCAAAGTAGCAGAGAGGGAGAGAGCTTGCTACAGAAAACATGAAGCCAAGCAGAGCTGCTGTCAATCAGCAGAGCACACTTTGCAAGAACTGTCAGGGGTAAAGAGGGACATTGACAATGACAGCAGGGTTGAGTGGACAGGTGTTACCTAGCAAGGCTCAAATCAGGGGTTCTCAACTTAAACCAGCTGGACCTGGTGAGGACCCAGGTGTGTGCTATCCTGCCCCGGCTGCTTGCACTGAGAGCTAGTGGCCTGCACCCTCCAGGTCGACACCTAGGTCTCAGCAGCCTTCACCCTTCTGAAGGGTGGTTCAGGGGCACAGGCAGACCACCTCACAGTCAGCAGAGGAGCCAAGACTGGCCCTGAGTCCAGCCTGCCGGCCTGTGGGTGGTTGCAGTCTCCTGAAAGGTAGGGCTTTTCCTATCAGTAGCACGTGATGCTCTTGTCCCCTGATGAAGATGCTCAGAGACCTGGGACAAAGCCAGGGGCTCCAGATGGGGCTCTGGGCTTTGCAGAATCTTAGGGTCTACAGGAGGAGAAGTCACCGGGCCCATGTGGTGCAGGGAAGGGTAAACCGATGGGGGATGTGGTGCGTGCAGGGCATGAACGGGGCCTTAGCAAGTGGTGGGGGGTGGGCCAGGACACCGGGCCCAACTCACAGTCCTACAGCCTCCCCTCTGCAGACAGAGCTGGGCACTGGCCAGAGATATGAAAACTAGGAATCCCTGGCTCCCTGCAGCACCCATGAGGGCAGCCAGACCGAATCCAATGTGGGCCCGTGGCCCGGAGGGCTGGATCCAACAGACCTGGGGCCAGGGGAAACTCTGGAGGCTCAGTTTCCCAGGGA